AAATAACCCATCTCCCACTGAATAAGACATTGACCTTTAAGTCTTTAACTTTTTAACTTATTGTCTTTTATTAATGTACAATAAGTAAATTTATAGAACTAAAAATAAACATTAAGTTCCTCTCAAGACAATAAAAACAATTTTTGTTATGAATTATAAAAATGTGGGCCGTTATCAACGAACTAACTTTATTTATGTTATTGGACGCGCGAAATCCTGGGTTTGAATCTCGGGGTGAAATCATAGTTTCGGTCGACAAGTCCTGATCAAACTTGCCTATTAATGAAAATGACCTCTGATTTAGACATAGATATGTTTCTAGTACGACTGTTGTACAGTTATAAACATATCACTCAAAATATTATACGAAAATACACTCATACATCCATTTAGCAACACTAAACTATGGTACACTTAACAGAAAAACAAAATGGAATCCGGAATTCCCTCCCTTATATTTCAAAGCTCAAAAGAAATCGCTAGCAATATCTGTCTGAAAAATATATCGGATTGCTTTGTCGCAGCTTTGGAAATCGAAATCTATTTTCCTTCAAATCTAAGTGAATCCCGTGCGGATTGGAAATGTACCCTTTACCTACCGCCGAGCGAGGCAATTGATATTCTAACAATACAATGTATGAATAAAATATAAACTGAGTTCCTATCAGCCGTGTTCGGTGCAATCGCCGCTTGGATTTACGAGAAATCTCTTGTTATTTTCGGCTTATGCATGGAACTATGATTGTGCCTATATTGGTACTCAATATACCCGTCAGGTTAAGCTTTTTCTCAATTTGGTTTTGCAATGAGCACACTTAAGTAAGTAATACTCATGACTATATACTTACATCTTAAATACGACTTAAATATTTAGACTCTATTAATCCTGTTGTCTTGTAATTTAAATTATTATATGTTTGTTAATAATTATTCATTCTATTACACTGTTACTAAAATACTATCGTTAGTTTTAAAACGAAAAATAATATGTAACGATATTTTGTGCTATTTATTCCATTGTAAGATTAGTTTAGTGTAACTGATATATCTATAGCAACATTACTTTCAAATTCCAATAGAGGGGTTTATCTCGAACCTTCATAGATTTTAATTTTGTGGCTAAGTTTAAAGCTAGGATTTAATAGACTCGTTTCGCCATCTAGTGGAAAATGCTAGAACTATTTCGATGTATGGTTGATAATAAGTTTTAGAGGTGACACAGCCAAAAAGTACTTACTCAAAGTTGATCAATGTACTTATAAAAAATACAAATATTGAATTATTGTAATTGTATATAATAATATACACATTAAAATGAACAAATGGGAACTAAGGGATTGGTATATCCTCCTACAACATTGTCTACGCTTTGAGGCCCGAAGAGACATAAAAAAAATTAAGGTCGGGCAAATTTCATAATTCTGATCAACGATTGAGCTATAGAAAAGTTAAGGACTCGGACACATTATTATGTCTGTCTCCACGATACTTTTTTATTGTCGCTATATTAATGTCTTTGTTGTTCGCAGCAAAAGAAAGTCCGGTAGGTTTATATTAACAATTCAGAACAGCAACAGTGGACATTATACGCGTCCCCTACTCATTTAGCTGTCGGAGAGTTATTTAATACAACGAGTGACCCCTGCCCGTGTTCTTGCTTGCGAAAGTGTATTGAACACATCTGCTGGCCACTCTTGATAATAAATTCCACAATTTAAACGAAATGTCAGTGGATTTAATGTGTTACTGTTATAAATTCAATCTAACTTAAGCTATTCAGTATTTTAAATTATGGATCACTTATTATTTACCATATTAAATTAAAAATGTATAAACTAATAATAATAATATTAATACCATTACGTGCGTACGTAATAATATTTAAACTTTCATGCATCCTTAATAGATTTAAATCGTAGATTACTTTTAAATGTTCTATTTCATTTTAATAAAGCACTTTATCGGTTTAAACTGCGATATATTTTAGTTAAACTTGTTTGAAAATAATTTTTAACTATGGCCCGATGTTTCCGAGTTCGTGATCACGGCTGAAGCAAAGCATCCAAAACGTAGGGGCGTAATTAAAAATAATTTTAAAACAAGTGTAACTAGAATATATCTCGTTATTAAAATGTGTACTACTCGCGTAAACTCGCGTATGGTCTATTTCATGATAGGTGTTATATAGCTGGATTATTTCATCTTGTATCAGGACCCTTTGCTTGTTTGTCGTTCTATATCAAAAAAATCTAAGCTTTAGTGGTTAGGTCCTAAGCTTGATTATTTGCTGATTTTTTAAACGAAAACATTCCCGAAGATACAAACGAAATATCCGATAAAAATACGATCCCTTTTTAGTATCAAGAGCGTACGTAATCTTCTAACATCTTAAATAAAATAGTGTACGGTAAGTAGTATATGGCCGGTAGCTTATGAATTAAATATGAGCGCTTTATTCGATTCCGTAGTCCCTCGATATCTGATAATAAAAAAGAAATTTATCGTACACATACATCGAAGAAATTGAGGCCGGTCTCATCGTCCGCTATTTTTTACGGCCGCCGTCCGTCGACAATCACTTCATAGCGACCCCTGTCCGAGGCTTCGATGACAGAATTATTTATCAGTTTGAAAAATGACGGGAAATTGAATGTAGTCGCAATGTTTACAACGCGTTTTCTGTTCGGTGTCCTCGGGGGCTCCTTCCCTCGCGTTCCGATGTCCACTTTTCAAAGAGGCCGCTCGGACGAGGGTCGAAAAAGTGTCCCCAGAGTGAAAAATAAAAAATAAGTATCCATACGCCCGAATATCGATGTATCGTGAACGTCGGATGACAAAGGAGAGTGTATTTGAAACGTAGCGACAAGTGTCCGATGGTATTCATTTTGTTAATATAATTGTTTTCCTCTTTGCGACTATATGACACAATCTATCGAAGTGACCGGAGCCATGTGTCGCCCTTGGGCGGCCTCGAGGGACATTCTATCGCTTCCAAAACTACTTATTGAATTATCCCAGCTCCAAAGATCAATCGGTAATGTTTTAATGAACCATACCACGGTTAGAAATCTGTTTTCATATTGGATTCAGCATGATATAAAATATTATTTCTTGTTTATTTGCTAGTCCCACACTTACATTATATAAAAAAACTATAATGCTTTCTAACACTGATAAATAAAATTAAAGCCACACTCTTATTACGAATGCATATCACGATTATTAAAATCGAGACAGCATTTTACGCGTTACGGTGAGACGTACATACGTACACATTTTTACAAAATCTCTTATGTCCGATGCTATCAGGTAGTTAACGAATAAATACAACGACAATACAATACAATAAGATAATCTTTACTGTCAAATAATATTAGGGCGGCTAGTCTCTTTACAATAAAATATTACTTATTCAAATAAAACACTATATCGGTTTAAAACGCGATTAATTAGTTAAACTTATTTGAAAATGATTTTTAACTTCGGCACGACGTTTCGGATGCTTTGCAGTAGCCGTGGCCACGGGGAGACCATTACTTATTCTTAAAATTAAGATTGCTGAATTTTGTACCTTTTGATTATGTATAGTGAAAGCAACCTCGATCTCACACGTATGTAAAGTTTATTACCTGTGTTACATTGTAAGTATATAGGCCGACACACATACTTAGATGTATAATATCAGCCATGGCCGCTCGTAAAAATGTTTTATACACCCCATACGGCGTCGTAAAAGGCGTAATAACGCGAGGAGGCATCGTGGAAGCAATTACCGATCTGTTATAGTTTGTTACAAAGGCGCTTGTTTATTATCGTTTTATTATCAACTCATTCGCCGAACAAGGACGGCACTAAATTCTTAGCTTATGTAGCTAATGTATGTATACTTAGTTCTTTAATTAATTAACGCTGTATGAATTGTCTGGCTTTCATAATTACTTTGTCTGTAGGCATTGTATGTAGATTTAAGGAGTTGGTCCCTGTTCCTAAATTTCCTGGAATTGGATATGACAAAAGTGCTTTGATCACATGGAAAATGTGAATAACTCTGGGTCTATAGTTATTTATCATTAAATACTGTCTATAGTTTACGCGAGTAGTACATATTTAAATAAAACACTTTAACGGTTTAAAACGCGATATATTAGTTAAACTTATTTGAAAATGATTTTTAACTTCGGCACGGCGTTTCGGATGCTTTGCAGTAGTCGTGGCCACGGGGTCTCCGCGTGACCAAATAAATTTAACTAATATATCGCGTTTTAAAACGTTAAAGTGTTTTATTTATAGATGCTATCGACCTATTTTTGGCTTTGAATATTCGAAAATCCACAGACTGTAACCAAAAGGCCATTATACTTTATGATTTTTTCATCTGTGGACGGTGGTGCGTGACCAGGATAGAATGGTCATGGTAAACATGTGACAGAAATATTTTAAATTAATTAGAATATAATATATGTTGGACCCAGCTAATAACCAACGGTTATTAGCCATACCATTTCTACCATTACACCAACGAGCCCATCTAAAAATATAGGAATATGTAAAAAAAAAAAATTAGATTAAGTATTTTCTAGAGATACAAAGCGCGTTCATAATCTAAAATTGTCTTCTAGAAAAGTCTAACCAAGAAGCAAAATAGTATGTATCCAAATTATGTAACTCACGCGTTTATTAAGGTAACATTTCCCAAGGCTTACGATTGGAGCAGACAAGAGAACTTCGCACCCCATTATATTCATAACGAAATATTATAAGCCGCCCGCCCTACAAGGAAAAACTGAAGCATCCGTCGCCCGCCTACAATATCATAACAGGCCGCTATTGGTTGATATAAGCTGATATAATATCATAACGGGCCAGGATTGGACGAGGCAGTGAGTGTCCCCCGCGCCCCGTTTCATTAGAGCTTAGTGCAACGCGAGGCTCTCAACCTGCGTTATAATAAGTTCAACGTCCATACGTCTCGCGTTCCCTTCCCGCGCGTCTCAATAAATATGTCGGGAGTGGGCGCCCCCCCCCCCCGCCCGAGTATGAGCGGTAGGAAATGCCGACGGCCGACCGCCCAACCCGGATCAATAATAATACTCGCCCATATCTGCAGTGGACTGGATCTGCTTGAGAAACCAGCCCGCTCCCCCCCTCGTCCACGAGGCCGGTACACAAACAATATTAATCATTTTCCCGGCCCTGAAGTTGCGGCCACATGCAACCGCTGTCCGACGCTCGCGTACAGAGCCGCTGTGGCCACTACATCTCGATACTACCAACGTGGAAATCATCTCTATTTTGAATGCCCATGCTTGACGTTTTAACGCAAACTGTATTTAAATGATTATTTGTATTCATCTTTATTACATTTACAAATACCATACACAAAGAACAATGTGACCATGTCCTTACTTTTTGAGGAAATAGTTCTGAGAAGAAAGGAAATATCTTTATCATTTTCATGCGCATTAGATTCCCTATTAAATTAAAAGTAAATTATAGAATAAAAAGAAAAAATATTATAATAGTTTTTATAACAACTCAATCGTGCAATCTAAATTGTTTTATTATTTTAGACATCTTTAAACTTTAATACCTAAGTAGATAAACCACCTCGGTTCGATTCCTAGGAAACTTAATATATTATAGTTGCAGTCGGACACAACTCAGAAATATAAACAACAAGTCTGTCTCTATCGATTAGTAATAGAAGCTCGAAAAATCGCCTCCTGCACGGGGAAACGGAAAAACACTTTCATATTTAGTTAACTACTTATAATTAGTTATATCACTAGTCTGATACCTGTTTTTTACGTGATGTAAAGAAAACACGGCGCGATGTAACTTGTTTGCCGTTTCCTGATTCAATCACGCATGTTAAAATATTTCCTACAATCATATTTATAATAGCAATTTGTTTTTTTTTTTAATATTTTTCAGTTTTTAAATAGTTATAATTTTTCAATGCAAAAGATAATGGCACCGATAAGAAAAGTGTCACGACCAAGAATTGGTCCTGGGTTTGTGGCATGTGTTACTCGTTCACAATTCACACCTATAATAACTTTAGACTACTTTACAGGTGGATAGCAAAAAGAAAAATACATATCGCTAATTAAAAAGTTAACTGCTTTCTCTGAATCCTTAATGTAAACATTATCAACAATCAACCGTAGCATGCGCATAGCGTAAGTAGAGCGTGTTCAAATGAATAACGCATTATGATGATCGCTCATTGATTTATCTTTAACGAGGTGAGGCATTTACCGTTCATTCTGTGTACATTATAAATTAATAGCTAGATTAAAAATTTATTTTAGATAGACAATATAAATGCCACGGCCGGTAAACAAACCTACGACTGCGTACTGTGTCTGATGCTACTAACCAAGTTTATAAATTAATGCAAGCTCGCATGTATGTCATTATTATACCATCGTATCATATTCTACACGTCATAAACATGTGAAAATCAAAATTATACTAGAGTATCTAAAATTTAATTCAATTTTAAATCTAGGTCCGCCTTATATAGCAAGAAGCATTCATTACATGTACATCTAGACGTGCCAATTGTACCAGAAGCAATAGCGAAACGGCGAACTTTGCACAATTTATCAAATTGAGTTACCGAGGGGCAATATCAGAGAGCGAACGCAATATTGCAGCGCGTGACCGCGTCTGCAATACGCGCTCGATACATCGGGCCCGCACGTCCGCCGCCCACCCGTCTTCTAGCCGCCCGACCCCGCCCGCCCAACTGACCACCTACAGATATTTAGCTAACAATGCCGTGAGCGGCTTCGCCGGGACGCGCTGTCCCGCTTCCCGCCGCCGCCGGGCCCTGCCACACGACAGGGACTACCGCGCGCCTTCGGTCATTCCTATATTTATTGGCGACGCTCATAAGTACGCGGGTCAGGTTATAAGTTTGTACCAAATGAATGGCCGAGCGAGCCACGTAGAAGGCCGCCCGCCGCGCTTAACAAGAAAGCGCCTCCACGAAACTTGGCGGGGTCGCCACCCTGTTTCGCCTAGCTTTATAATTAAAAAACAAAAGAATGCAGGAGCACTCAGCCTCTTGGCTGCCGTTCGACTTTCATACGAACGTAATGCAGTGTTGATAGGAATATTCTAAATGAGTTGGACTTTTTATGATAGAGGATAGATGAGCTTCTAAAGGGTCTCACTTGATAGAAGAAGAAATGTCTACAACGTGTGATTAAGATAAGAAACATTTTAAGCCTGCTTAATTTTAAATTTTGCGCTTCTATATTTTTATTTATTTATTTACCGAAATCCTTACAGCTAAAAGTACATGTTTTCTTATAGTTAGGGAATTAACTACGCCAATTACAAGGATTTACAAATAATAAAGTAATAAGATTACCCAAGTGACAAGGTTCTACATTATAGGTGCATAAAACAAGAACTGAATTGACGTATCCAGGGATGCGGGTGTGTTTTTTGTAAGTGTAAGTGAGTGTGAGTATGTTATTGTTTTTTAAATGTGCTAATTAGGGTTTTTTTAAAGACGGGGCGTGAAAGATTAAAAAATATCTATGAATGAAAATTTGTATTAGGAAAAACTACACAGAACCACTTTTTTTAATTGACATCCTTAAGTGTCATTTTAATTCTATAATGTATCCTCAATACCAAAGAAATAAATAAAACTCAATTTGAATTTGGAACAATGACTGGTAGAGCCGAATCGATTAAACATTTCATACATGCTACATCCGGTCGGGACCTATTAAGAAAACCCATTACGGAGTTTGCAGATGACCGCTCCGTTTTATAACGCGAAGGCAAGACCCCCGGTCCGCGGAGCCTCCATCGCTCACCCGCTCCCTTGACCATCGACCGACAATTGTAAATGGCACATAAAATAAATGAATGTGCAACGGGACTCGCCTCTGCAACAGACAATATAAATTACAACTTGGCGATTATATTTGTCGGAAATGAAGCGTTTTCCTTCAAAGGATTTCTTTAATTTTTTTGGTTAAGGTGATATATATAATAAATGTACTTATTGTAGACGTCTTTCCTCTTGTGAAGAACAAACATGTTTAAAAAGATCGTTGTAATCGCCTATTTACTAATAATTAATTTTAACCCTCTTTCCATTGAATTTTTAAGACTTGAGTTACTAAACAAGTTTTTATTCAAATTATACACGACATAATTATTTAATACCTAAGAAATTTACGGCACTTTTATTAATAAAATAGTGTTCATATTAAATACATAATTGTGAAAACGCATTTTGTATCTACACTTACAATAAAAACAATTGATGAAGTAAATTTTTTAATATATTAGGTATGAAAAGAAAATTGAAAAGGAACTACTTGGATTTAATTTCTATTCCAAAAAGAAACAACTTTGCACAACAGATGGCGCTTGAAAAGACAGATACTCTTATCATAATGGTTCATAAAAGTTCGTTGTTTTTTCTTTTGATCTAGTAACTAGTCTGTGATCTTTGTAATGTCAAAAAAATATACTATCGTTATCGTGCTATCTAATTATATTACTGCTATAATTATGTTATTATCAGAAAGAAGTTTTATTATATTTAAGAGAGATTTTCTTTAATATGGCATATATTACTTTCCTTTTAATAAACTTTCTTACCTTTAGCATAAACTGTGACATCACCGCCATCATGGTAGTGCACTTGTCGAGTTATACCAATGAGCTGATCATAATAGGAGTCCAAATCTAAATCGTACCTACCCCCGTGACCACGGCTGCTGCAAAGCATCCGAAACGTCGGGCCGAAGTTAAAAAATCATTTCCAAATAAGTTTAACTAATATATCGCGTTTTAAACCGTTAAAGTGTTTTATTTAAATAAATCGTATCTATAACGGAAAATTAAATAGCTCATAATTAAGCTCTTACATAAATATAGATTTTAGATTAGATTCAGCATACATTTTAACACAATCCTCTTTTTAATGTATCAGTATAGCTCATCCTCCAAGAGATTCATTTCAGTGGAAGATTTTATGGCATCTTTCCAATAACACGTCAAGTAATATATGTTGCTTATTGAAATTTATGGCGTAATTAGGACGGCAGATAGCCCGTACAAACAGAACGGGGACCGTAAATTTGTTCAACCCAATTAGACGTTAGACCAGACAACGCTGCTATGAATATTGTGGGCAAATCAATATCGAGACGCCATCATTAATGAATATTCTAGAAGTTTTACAACGTTTTTGTTTTGAATTATCATTTTGATAAACCCATACTTTATTAATATGAGAAATGCTTTTTTTTAGATACAGGAGGACAGCCGTCACTTGGTAAGCGAAATATCCCAGTCAGATAAAATCTAAATAAGATGCGCGGTTGACCTATTTTAGCTTTGGATATTCGGAAATCCCCAGACTGAAATCGAAATGCGATCAAACTTGTTTTTCAACCACCCATTTAGTATCCAAATTTCCAGACGAAGTTGAACATGTTTCAGAAAAATTATAAATTAATTAGGAAAAAGTTGGACCCGGTGAGGATCAAACTCACGACCCGTTCATTGATATTATTAGCTATACATTGCCACCATTACATCAACGGGCCCGTCAACCCGTAAATTAGTATCAAACCATTGTCTGTTTATTTAATTAACCTATCTGTGTAATGTACGATAGATTTCTAACTATAATACTGTATAATAACAGCTCTGATGTATATCAGAACAGTTATTTACTTAGTCAACTGTTATTATTCAATTAACGTATTCAATTCGTATGATTTTCATTTAGACAGTCGTAATAATGTATCGCTTTACAAGTAATATAGAATAAATATATACATTAAACGCTTATTACTAAATGAAGGGATGAATACAAAATTTAAACCGCAGTTCGAAGTGATTTTCACCGTCGAAAATGTCATCATGCAGCTAAGATGGCATCTAGTCCACACTAATGTTATAAAGCGGAAGAGTTTGTTCATTTGTTTTAACGCGCTAATCTTTCTGAGATTACTGGAGACTACTGGTTTTAATTGAGTAACTATTTTTATGTTGGTTAGACTACTTATCGGGGAAGACTTTGGACTTTAAACATCACGATGCGACCAATAGGAGTGAGGAAATAGAGAGAAATGTGAAAAAGACTGGGAAAAGTTTCACCACATTCGTTGCATATACTGCGAAAATGGTTAAAGAAACCAAAAAATATATTACGAAAGAACTATTCCTCTTTAAATGATCTAAAAGTAATAATTTGTCTCGTTTTTATCATTCTTTTTTAGATCACGCTTTTATTATGCATGTAGTTGGTATGCCTCTTTGAAATAAATAAATCTTAAGAGATTAACTTGCAACAACGACGGGACGGGGAAGACGCGATGCCGTGGGTAGCAACTAGGAGAGAATAATTGTGCAAACTTATGGACATGCAAGCCGCACTCCTACCCATCCGTGCTACACAACGCATGAAACCTAAGTGGGCATTACATTTATACAGTTTAGAAAATCACAGAGGCTAATCACGAACCGGATGAGTCATCCGATATCACAGACCAGTCATTTGGTCAACGTCGCAAAACTAATGACACATAATGACGGCCGGTCTAACGTCCAGAGGGTGGCAGCCGGCCAACTTAGTCCTGCACATCGAATACACAATTTTAGGCTTTATCACTAATGTTTTAGCTCTCATTTGTCGGTAGACGTAAGTCAAGGTCTGTTAGTTAGTCTCCCCAGGAGATCCTGTGCAGTCGCGACTGTCGGCTATCACCTGGCCACTCCACAGATAATTGACGCTATAGTAATAATGTATGGAATATTTAATTAGGTTAGTGCATCCACCTACGCTGTCGACTGGTATACGTATGTATCTACGTATAGTTGGATATAGCCACTAGATTGAAAAAAAGAAATCTCTATTAACTATTCATTTTGAAAACTTCCAATACGAATATGAGGTCACTAGAAATAGTGGGGCCTAATAACAAAAATCATGATTTTCAATAAATAAGAAAATAAAAATGCACAATCAACTTGTAAAAAGAATCTGTACTATTATTAAATTGTGTAAGGCTTTCACGGCCATCGTTCAGCATATGATTGTCTTTCGGGCGATGTGAGCGAGAAGAGGTTCTCAACCTCTTCTCGCTCACATCGGCCGAACAGCCCGAAAGACAATGATATGCTGTATTATTATTTGTGTAAAAATTACCTCTACCTATAAGTATAATCAATACTCTGCCTCTAGCGGCTTTATATTACAGTGACTCTTTGATGTATATGGAACACGTAATCTAGAAATATTATCCCATTATTCATTCAAACTTCAATGTCAACTACACTAGCGACTAAACTTTTTATGCCCTTTTTCATTTTGCCTTTCAAACTAATGTACATAATATTATACATAGACAGCAATGTAAACACGGCGTGTGTGGACGAGTGCGAAGATAGAAATGAAATTGATGAACTTTTCTCGCAGCAATAATGGCTTTGGCACGTACCAACATAATTCCCAACAAAACTTCCTCGCAGTGCTCCGCCCTGCTGTAGGGCTGTGCGATATAATCAATTCCTAAACTAGTGTTTTTTTTAACATTTCGTAACATTGACTCCTGTCTTGAATTATAAATAACCGTGGAGTCAATGTAATAGTTTAATTAGGACACGGTAGCTCAATTGCCCCTGTGGGTCAAAATATTTCAATATATATAGATTTTTATCTTATGAAATGTCACTATAAATATAAAAGTTTGGAATCATTACAATATTCACTCGATACGTTAAGTTTATATGAAACCTTGTATAAACTAAAAAATAAATATATTTTGATTTAAAAAAAAATAACGACCTACAATTGTTAGAAACTAATATTAGCTGTTCAATATTTTTTTATTCTTTGTAGCATTAAATAATACTTCTTTAACAATTTTCTAGAAGCAGCCCTGTTGAAAAGGACAACGGACATTCGCGGACGAAGAAGGGAGTGTACATCCAATATAAGAAGAGAACAAAATAGGTTTATGTTGGATACTTTGACCATTCGTCCGTAAAGTAACTTTGCTCAACGGCTAACGCCCACACTCTGCTACTTTGAGTCTTTGAATTCATAACATTACACGTATGATGTGCCTTCATGCTGTCGAGGTACTTTAAAACCTATTATAGTCTGAAAATACATATATACCAACTGAGAGAGGATGCTTGTTGGTAAAACAACGTCGCGGTATCCTGTGATAATGGGTTCTAGTTCCGATTGTATAATCGACTTTCTCAACGTGAAAAACTATTTCTGTTTACTTTATTATTTTTATTTAGTTTTAACACGAACAATTCAAATCAACATTTACATTTTAATATTCAAGAGCTATCTATGGAGTTAAATAAATTATAGTAAAGTAAATAATTATAGTATAGTAAGTACTAAAAAAACTGGTATCTATTACATGTAACTGTATACACACATAAACAAAAACATCTGTTAAACAGACATGCTTTAGTTATATGTATCGTATAGGTTGTAAATGTAATTAAAATTTAGTATATAACATATGGTTTATTATAATGTTTAATGCCAAGCTTTATATTTGCTCAAACATTTTATAATGCGCAATCTTCTTATGTGTGTTGTATATTATTACTTTTTGAAAATAAACGTTTCACCCTTTAAAAGTATGGCACGCGATGGCACTATATATAAACTTACACTATATAAATCGATTGTAACTTTACTACGATTTACGCATTATTTTATTTTGAAAGTTCAGTTTAATTCAAAGGACGGTAAAGTGCAGCCGCGTCCATTTCCAGCTAGTCAATCTGCAACAGATCCTCATTTGCGACGAATTGCTAAAACACATTCTGGAAAGTAATCAAGTGACATGTCGGTTCCTAAAACAGGAACGAATCCAATGACACCGCCAGCGCACCGCTTAATCAGGCCTGGACTGCCCGCCCTATATTTGCGTATGCAAAGAGACTCCGGCCGCATTAGCTATGCCATATAGCCAACGTAGCGTGCAGCGATTGGGCAAACACATATCTGCATTATAAACAGCGTTCGGGTGCACAAACGCGCAATGTGGTCGGCCTTTACCGGCGCTCGACTAATCAACGAGCTGACCTTCCGCCGAACAAATGCCATACCACACTTCACTAGCAACAACTGCTTTCCTGGATGAATAAATTAGTTATCCGTTAGCCCGCCGATCGATCATGCGTTTATCGACACGATCGCGGCCACAAAGGAAACAGTCTTTCCGGAAAATGCCAATCAATAATTGAAATGCGTTTACATCGGGTCAGTGTGTTAGTGAAAATTGCATTACCTAAATGTGTAATAAAGCGGAAAAGATCACAGGCTGCTGCACGCAACAGTATCGGTTTATACATGTGCAGTGAATCGATTAAAGCTTTCTACTTTCCACCTTCATAGACACTGCACATACGTGGAAAATCTTAATCTAATATCGTGATATATTTCTCCTAGTAATTTCCACTAGAATGATTAAAAGAAAGCTATTACTGTACTAGTGAATATCATACACGTTGATATAAGTATGGATGGGTTTTTAAATTTCTCTTATACTTTAAATACATCTCACAAGGTTTTATAGACAGACAAAAAGTCTTCTAGATTTATTTGACTATCACGATGTTTGCCTACGGACATGTTAATAAAACCAGCGATATAGTTTTCTTTTTATTTTGTCTTATATTTAGTTATAAATTATTTTACATTAAAATTTTCCTAAACCGTAGTCACAAATAAATAAATTAGAATAAATTATTTACTGACATAGGATCGTTAACAACGTTATAAATTAAGGACCACGGCTTTGTCTAAGTGATTTCCAAACTATGGTACTTTGGCTTTAGATTTTTGTAATGAAGTAAGATTTAGCGATGCAGTGAGGCGCTTAGAATAAGTCTTCATCGGGTTTCGTTGGGATCTTGTTAGCGTAGAAACGGTAAGGATCCGTTTCGCTAGACCTCACTGGTCTCACCACATACAGATTGCGCCTTCGAATTAAAGACTAGAATTAAAAAATACTGATTAATCGACTTGGTACCTGCAAAATAATTACAGCTGAATATTTTTTTGATATTTACCTGTGATGTCCATCAGCGTGCACTTGGAAAGTCGTTTCTCCAGTCGCTCCATCGTGACTGAAAAGTTTCTTGAGAGCGATTATACCGGCAATCGTTAATGCCACTTTACTGGCGATGAGAGCCTTTCCAGCAATGGCAGCTAAGGTCTTCAGTGCCATACCCCCCACTATGCTAACGGTTGTGAAAATACCGAGCAACAGGTAGGGCAAGACCTTTTTTCCTAAAAAAATCCAAAGATCCATATAAATAAATTTAACAAAATACTACAATTAAAGGCCAACGAAGCTCTGAGTTTATATCAATATCAATAAAAAAAATAGAAGAATAATTTTTCAAGTTTTTTTTTACTGGGACGTGGGTAATGTGTTGTTATAAATTATCCTTACCTCTACCTCTACCTTCCGAGACTAAGTCCATAGCGATGGAGTGTGTTCTCATCAATTGCTCAAACTTAGTTTTGAGCATGGTATCGATCTTTTCATCAGCAGTCATCCCAGGAAGGAAACGAGGTTCGGCCACCGCACTCGGCGCATCGGCCTGTTTCACCAACGTTAAACCATCAGCAAGCTGAACGCTCTCCTGTTTACAACAATTAATTAATATTAATACTCAATCCATCACTTTCACATAACAAACCACTGTTTCACTCTGTTCACCTGCTCCACAGCTCTTGTGAGTGCATTTAGAGCCTTGCCCTTCAGGCAGGTAGTTAGATGCGTTTGCGCACTACAATCGTCGTAAACTTTTTGTAATACTGCAAACTCCGCAGATGGCCACCAGCTTTCGTCTGCTCTACCACTGTCGATTTCGTTCTGTGCATAATCCTCAGCGTCCATTCGTCGGGATCTTCTGGGTCCATGAACGTGACCGGAGACGACAATTGCACAGATAAATAACGTTAAGGGTATCCGTAGAAACGAACACATTTTGCTAATCAATTCACACTACACTAATAACTAAAAATAGACGTAAATGAGGATGGCCTAACAGCGACTGACGGCAGAGGCACCTGCAGCCACTTTATAACGGCGGGCACCACGTCGACGAGCATCAACGAACATCCGCTATTCCGCACCAGTTCTTCTGCACGCGTGCTTACGTAACTGAACTTGAAAACGATTGAGAACAATTTTCCAAAGCAATTTCTCCAATAAAATGTTCCGCAAAAAGCAACATATGTGTTCTACTATAGCCGCGTTTATGGCGCTTAACTGTACGTTTCAGCAATGGGACTTAATATACTTATATTAACCTGGCAGAGGATTATTTACGGAAAGTGCAATTTTTAGAAAGATTGTAGAAATTAAACTTCGTAAAAACTAACCGTTTAACCGTGAAGTGTTTTAAATGTGATCATTTGATTAGATAATGGATATATATAATGAAATAAGGAAATAACGTAAAATAACGCATTCCTGCTTACGATTAAAAGAAAGTAAAAACTCTGCACGACCGTATCGGTAGAATTAGTGTAATAACCGTAAATGAAAAGTTATATTATTATTAACAAACAATTTTCTAATTCGTCGTGAAATGTCTTCGTTTACGCGTATCAGTACTTAAAAATATTATTAGCTGAAAATTTATTTGGTTGGTTGAACGTTGCAATCTTGAAAACTGGTCCAACTTTGAAAAATCTTTTAGACTAGGAACTAAATTTGAACACTAGTTACTATGTTATGCTTAATAGTATTAGATACGTTGGTATCAGTAAGACGTGGGTTCTTAAGATTCAGATCTACATGTGTTTTTTTTTATATACGGACTATCACAGCTATTGTTGATTACAGGTTACAGATTATAAATTAAGCGTACTGATGTTGATATATTAGATGTAATTTTTTAAAGTGCTTTCTGTAAGTTTAAAGGTAAAAAATAAAGACATGTGTCATTTCATTGCTGGTCAGTAATATACATACTTATACATAATTTCCCATTCTGACATGGTGGGTCTAGTGTAACTTATAATAAAAAATATTTATTTATTTTATTACAACTTTATTATTCATTATAAAAAAACGCAAAACAAAAACTACTTGAAAAATAGGTATACTAAGGTTTAAAACTACGTAATTAGTAAATTAGACACCGTTAATATAATACAAGATGTGAATTGCACCTGCTTGCAGAGATCTGAATAAATCAACACATTATTACCATGAAATTAAATTTCAGTTCTCAGTGAGGAATTCTTACACACTTTCCTGATTTCAATGCATTAATACATTTTCTAGCTTTTCCGTGTCTAAGAAGGCCTAATATCCATCTACTTTTGGACAATATTATTTGCAAGTTGATGTTCATTATATTATTCTGTGTTTTTTTTACATTTAGATATAAGTATACGGTGATAGTTAATAAAATACTTAGCAAGCAATTTCGTCTTTTTTTAAGCTAATCTCAATATTATACGTGTCGTCTCTTTAGGTATTTTAAAATACCTAATGTATAATCCACAATTAAAAATTATTTTACGCACAAATATACGTGATGAAATTATTCGAATCCACCTATAGGATCAGTACGTACCTACAGTATAAGGAACATTGTCTACAAAAAGGGCTTTCAATCTTTACATTTTTAATAAAATGTCCATAAAAACAGTGTTTTATTAATTTAATTACATTTTGTCATTATTTGAGTAACAAATTATAATTTATTTCAGGAACGAGTTATCGACCCTCTTTAAAAATTAAATATAAAATATTACATTACAATTATTGTTAATAACAATCTACTTTAATTGAGACTTCTGTCTGCAAAGATGTACTGTTATTTCTTTCATATAGAAAAATATTGTGTTTACAGAAGCATCCACAGATAAGTATCCAATGTAATTCTGTCTTTTCTACCTTATGTCACCTTCCTAGTCAATAGTCACAACACTACAAAATATATAACTGTATTCAGCAAGGTACTTTGTAAAGTATTTATGCTTAATTTTTGGTTTATTTTAAACTTTTAAATCTCACCACACATCCCTAAGCTTTAGCCTGACTTACTACCTGATAAATGAAACCTTGGTCAGTTCAGCATGAATAACACTAACGACGCCTTATCATTTTATGGAAAGGACCCTGGGGCAACAAAATTTGGCAATTTTATAAATTACTATTCGTTTCATAGTGCTAATGAACGGACAAAAAACTTAAATCAAAGCATGTTTCCATTGTTAGGCCAAGAAAATTCCTCATTATTGATTCTTGACGTTGGCTGCAACACGGGTGAGCTAACTATAGAAATATACAAATACATGAAATGCTTACATCCCAATACCAATGTACACATTTTAGCTATCGACATAGACCCTTTATTAATCGAAAGAGCTAATAAGGATAATGAAAATATTACTTTCATCAGCTGCAATATAATGACCAAGGATGCACAAGATGTAATTAAAAATTTCCTAGACAGGTACAAGAAAAATAGTTTTGATATCACATTTTGTTTCTCAATTACTATGTGGATACATATTAACAATGGAGATAGTAAGTTTATAGAGTTTCTGAACTATGTCAAAAATATTTCAAACTGTGTAATTGTTGAACCTCAGCCTTGGAAATGCTACAGGAATGCACAAAGACGAATGAAACGAGCAGGATCCAAGTTTGAATTATTTAATACACTGAGTATAACAAATGATGTGGAACATGTAATAGAAAATGTATTGTCTAAAGACACACATGAGAAAGTTTATGAATCAACGCCATCTTCATGGTATAGGAAGATTCAAAGTTATCATAGGGTGATTAAAAATGTACAATGACGAATAAGTGTTATTATAATACAACTAATGATTTAAGATCTGTTTAACATATACTGGGACACAATTCTTGTATAAGAATTCTATATTTTAATAGTGGTATACTATTTGTATAGTTTTACCTATTTAAAATGTTAAAAATAAAATGTTTTTACAGTGTTTTACTATCATTTGTAAGTAGGGATAATTATTCATGACCATAACAGTACATAGGTCTCAGATATACATTGTCAAGGTCCAAAAGGCTGTAGTAAAGTAAAGCTCTAAATAAATCAAAACTCAAACAATAAGAATGGATAGATTTTTTTGGGTTTTCAAGTTGTTTGGCCGTTGTAATTAAGAATTTGTTCACAATGTCTAGCTATCACAATCAAGGACATCATCATCACATGATAACATCAGGAGTAATCGAAAGCTCCTCGACTAGAGATTCCAATTGGTGGATTATATTCTCAATTGCAACAGCCGAATAATTGAAAACTGGAATAAAATGGCAGGGAAAGCCTTATACCAATTATGGATAGTTTCACATCATGTGGGTTTGCTGCACTTATGTTATATTTTTTTAATAATTACATTTAAAACAAGATAGTAGTTTCCTAGTTCAATAAATAAAATTATAGGTGCCTCTTAAGTAGCAATCTCTTCTGTACTTGACTCAAATTCTAATTTTACATCTCCACCTATGTCTTCCACATCCATTTCTGTCTCTTGGGCATTGAGCATATTAAGGGTAACTTGCTGTAAAATTAAAAATATATATATAATAGAGGTCTATTTATTTACACAATAATGCTTAAAATATTTTCCTTAGAACTTTCATTACCTTTCTGTTTTTTCAGAAACGAACAAGAAGTAAGTTATGTTCTTAATTGTTATATGAAGAAAAACATAACATGGAGAAAGTAAAAGTACTAATTTTCTATATATTTTGCCTAATGAGCAGTGATTTTTGTATTTGGTTTTTATCTCAATCCTTCAATTTGTTATTGTCGTTATTTAACAATGAAACAAAACAATAGAAGCAACTAAATAGTATGCTGATTTTGACAGTGAATGTTAAAAGTGCAATGGTAATATTACTATATGTAATCACACATCTAATAGCAAATTTGAGAGTTGCAGAGGTTTTGTAAAGACATAACTGACGTAAGCATCTTAAGGCAAGCACTTCAAGAAAGAATAAATGAGCTATCATGAATGTTAAAAAATTAAAGATACAATTATTTTTATTATTAATATTATAGGTCAGTAACATTTTGCCTAGAAAAAAGGTAGGTGGTGGCTTGCACCTAATTACTTTTAACTTTTTACATTACAATTGTCCGTGCAGATCTGACATACATGACAAAAGAAATCGTCTATCAGGGAAGTAAATATATATGTTTGAAGGTAGGAAATATATTTTGCAGTAAAAATACCTGGCCTGCTGGTGCATTTGTTAAATTACGCTCATCTGGGACTTTCCTTTTTACAGGTGTCTTAGAATGAACACTGAAAATGTATAATATAAATGGTTATTTTATTTCAACCATTGTATTTCGTATTGTATAAAACTGTGACAATATAAGAGCACAGTTAGACAACTTTTTAAAGTAAAAGAGAGTGATTTTATTTTAAGCTGCTACTTATAATGAGGCTGATGATACTCATGCTGAGAGAAATGGCTTACTTATAGACATTACTAAATAATAATATGTGAAAATTATATTTACTTGGGAGACGGCTCTGCAATAGGATGTAACATCATTGTCATTTCTGCAAGTCTATTAAAAGCAGCACCAGCTTCAGTAAAAATTTCTCCAACCTAAAAGACGATCGACACACCATTAATATTTTAAATAAGAAGAATGTATTTATTCATCTTAGAACCAATGAATATTCAAAATCTACCTTTGCAGCTGAGCTGTTCATTATGAATTTTATGGCACAATATTATTAATGTTTTTAAATATACTGACTGATATTCAAATTATTCATATGCATGTAAAGCTATCAAAGGAAGGATTGTTTTTATTGTATTGTGAGTTTGTAAAATCAACTGTTGTCATAACAATAATAAATGACGAGGAGAATCACTAAGCCGGAAGCCCTACGTTCCTTCACTATATCTGTGCATTTTTAGTTCTGGAAGAAGGAAAAAGATGTCGCTAGTAAAAAATTTACATTCGATTCGTTTCAAAACGCTATAAGAGAGCACTCTATCTCAATGTTTATTATTATCCTAATCTATGGTGAATTATGACAGCACTCAAGAGGAATTAGTATGGGGGTATCATAGTCTGTACTAAAGCATAGATTTATAATCTATGATATTCTAAAAAATAACACCTTTAAAACTAACCTTGTTTAGTAAGCTTATTATTGAATAACATTGTGAAAATTATTTAGAGATATTGAAATTATTCAAAAAGAGTTTACAATGTATAGGCCATATGACTCGTATATGACGAATCCTCATAATAATTTACAGTGGCATAACAATCGTTCTATAAACAGTACACAAGGTAGATTTTCAACAAGTCCACATTACAGCCATACTTTTAGTGGTTGTGCTTCAATAAATGAAACTTATAGCAATGAATACTGGTGTGAAACATGTGACAGGGGTTTCAGGACCCAAAGTATACTTGAAAATCATAAAAAACAACATCAGGTTTGTTAGGCCTCTTCTACTATTGTACATACATTTGTTTCTTTTCAAATTTTTATCGATTGATTTTTTATACACACACAAGTGTTTTATTTTTATATAAGATTCTCTTTTTTTTATAGAAATGTAACATAGACGGTTGTCAATTTATTGCACACCCTAAAGTTATTACAAGGCATATTCAAATGCAACATTCAACGGGCCTGTATAAAAAAATTGCTAATTTAACTAATGCTGAAGAAATTGAAAAATGGAGACAAGAAAGAAGAAAAAAGTATCCTACTAAAAGCAATATTGAAAAGAAAAAGTCAGAAATTCAGGAGAAAATTGATAGAGGAGAAAAAATGGGTTTAAGGAAGAAGAAAGAAATGGGTAATTATTATTTGAGATAGCTGATTTCTATTATTTATACAGACATTTTTAGACAAAGCCTTACCTGTGTCTCTCTAAGATACTCTTGGCCTAACAAGGATTTACTTAAATGTAGCACATGTACACATGTAATCATTAAAATAATTGTGTAGCACATAACCAACAATATTGTATTATTTCTAGATTATCAGGGCATGCATTTTCCTATGTAATTCTCATAATACAATAGTATGGTGATTAAAATGTAATATTATATGATAAAAGTAAAAATTTACTTTAAAATTAAGAGGAACATTTATAGGGCTGAAATAAAACAATACAGAAAAAAACAATAATGCATCATATGATTTTACTGTCTCATTTGTTTCAGAGGTGCAGAGAAATTACACTAAAGAAAATAACAAAAAGGAACACAAAAAATTAAAAAGACACTTACCCACAAATACTCCGGGAAAAAGGATAGTCCCTGCAAAAATTGTAAGATTCGAGGTAAATATGGAAGGATCAAGGGGTCTAAAGCCATTTAGAGGCATTCAACAATTAATAGAAAGTAATGTAGTTGATGAATATTCTCCACATGAAATATCAAACAAAAATGATTTGTTCGAAGATGAGGACTACGTTGAAGACATTCCAAAGAAAGAATGTAATGCACAAGATCTGCAAATATGTGGTGCCCTTATTTCCATATTAAATGATTATGGTTCAAGTGATGACGACATAGATATAATAAAGACAAGTGATTCAATAAAAAAAGACGAAAGTAATAGGGAAAAAATCAATCCAAATATTAAAATTTCTGAAGAGGAAGATAGTGGTCCTGAAGAAATAAAAATTGACAAAGATATAACAAAAAATAATACAGAAAGTACCAGAAGCAGTGTGATGGAATCAAAGAAAGCAGAAAATAAGATAAAAAAATCAGATAACAAAAACCAACAAGCTAATAAAAAAAAGCTTCAGAGAAATGTTCCTATCAGAAGAAAACTTCCTTCCACCTTACTTGAAAAACTTTTAAGCAATGAAATAAGAAAAGAGCGAAATATTATCTTGCAATGCATCAGACATGTAAATAAGAATAACTTTTTTTTATAAAAAAAGTGTACAAAAATTATAGTTCATTATGGAGCTGCTAATGCTACGCTTGTGAGCTAGGATACAGGAAATTATGTCAACACTTTATAAACACATGTGTACTAGGTACAGTATACTGTCTACTGGTACTGTGATATAGGTGAAATATAACGAAGATATAAGTATACACATTTTTGTCTCTCGGTTTTCTAAAATAATAATCGGATGTCATTTTCATTGGATACGCCCAATTGATTATTCACACTTTACCGACACATTAATGCGAATTGCTTTGTATGTGAATGAACCTCATTTATCATATAAAAGGTTGTAATTTAGCAGTAAAGCAAAGGCTTTAATTATGTATGTATACATACATTTTTTCAGGTATTTTGAACTTGTATGCCTATATCAGCAGGTTTATTTTGATATTTGATTAAGATATATTTAGATGATTTTTATTTTTGTAGAGGCCATGTGACAATTTGGCATTGTACCTTATTTACAAGTAGCTTTTTAATATTTATTTGATAAACCTTACTATTAATATTAATGAGCATCATTACAACTTGTACTTAGTACGCAGGTTATGAAATATAATGACACGAACGGCGCAAAAAAATGTTCGTGGATTTTGGAACTGACGGACAGTTCCAAAAGCCATGAATGTATGGAATATATATACACATATATTTATGATTACACACTTCTATTACGTCTAAAAATTATTCTCATCTCATCAAAATATTCTCATCAGCTACTTAAATATAGGTCATGGTGTTTTTTTTTTACAAATATTAAGCCCTATCTCCCATAGTATTTTAGCAAGCTAGCCCCTTTTACAGCAGTTATATTAAGTTACCTACCTATTCAGGATTAGGAAATGCGAAGTGTGGTGCTGCTTATGTTTGGTTTTATACATATATAATGAGACCATTAATAAAATATTGACTAGGAATTTATAGGTTACTATTGGAAACGTAATATATTGAATTTCGTCAAGGCCAATATTGCACCGATTTGGTAAATTCTCCAAAATTAAAATATTTATTAATAATTTTGAAATGAAAATACAGATTATATGGTTTCAATTTATTTAGTCCATGCAATCTATGATTGAGCAGGAGCTGCAGTAGTTGTTGCTGCTGCTTCTTCACGGATGCGGTCCTTCTTAAGTATACCCATAAACGCAGCCTTGTCAGCTGGTGTCTGGAAGCGACCGTGACCAAACTTGGAAGAGGTATCAATGAACTTCAGATTGATCTTTTCAAGAGCAGCTCTCTTGGTGTGAACACGTAGGGACTGAAAAAGTATAAACAAATAAGTTCGTACATATTCACAATTATCAGCATGTATGTTATAGTGTTATAATTACAAGAAACTATCTCATACATAACATTCTCATTTCTGGTATTGAAGTGAAAATATAATATATACTTTATTGTATCCCCTATATACAGGGCAAAGTGCAAAACATGTGTAGAGCTTATTTATATATGAACAGTACAACAATTAATGAAGTTCAGTAAAAAATACTAACTTTTCTTAAAGTGATGACCCTCTTTTTAGGTCCCATACAGCAACCTTTAATCATGATAAAGTCATTATTGACTTCACCATAGTGTGGAAAACCTCCCATAGGAGTGATTGATTTTTCAGACAAATCATATTCAGTTGATGCATTGTTTTTAACAACTTTGCCATCCTTTGTGTGAATACCTAAAAAGAAAAACGTAATTTAGAAACTTATAAAATTATCAAAACAAAAAATGTGGTACCAAACAAACTTTTAAAATGTATTTATTACCTTGGCCAATTCTGTAAATCTTTTTGTTCATCTCTGTACGGTGGTGGTAACCCTTTTGACCAGCACGGGCTACAGTAAATGAAACTCTTGAAGGATGCCACGCTCCAATACAGGCCACTTTGCGAAGACCCTTGTGTGTCTTGCGTGGGAGTTTCTTGGTATGCCAACGAGATGTAACACCTGAAATAAAAATTAATAAATCATTAATGTAGCAATGTAGCACAGAAGAGGAAATAAAGACGTGTTGAAGATTATGCTAGATATAATCTCAAGACCAATCACAATTCAGAATTAGGCCAAGCCCTTTTTTGTGTAGGTACAGAAGTAAATACAACTTTTTCACTTTTCCAGTAATAATTTAAAGACAAAAAATTGATTATGAGTGATTATTATTTGATAAACTGGAGTTTCTTTACGAAATAGCTATAACTCAAACTCTGCTATCTTATCTGTAACATGATATAATTTATAAGGAATAAAATTTAAATAATCACCTTTGTACCCTTTACCCTTGGTGACACCGATGCAATCAATCATTTCATCCTGAGTAAACACAGAGTCAATGGGAATAGGCTTTTCAAGGTGTTCACGGGCCCATTTTACTTTGTCTTCAATGGTTCCTCCATTGACTTGGATTTCCATGATATGTGCCTTCTTTTGACGTTGCTTTAGCAGTTTCATTTGGGTGTGGGCAATAATTCTAATTACACTGCAGTACCGAACCATTTTCTTAAAGTCTTTTTCAATAGACTTACGGCCCAATTCATCTTGCCACTTCTTACTCGACTTGGTAAAGGCCTTCTTTTTGCACTTGTACCTGGATTATCACAAACCAAATTGCTGTAAAAAAGGCCAATAGTCTCATCGTTGAGCGGAGACAAATTGGCAACAATATGCACAACGCATATTACTTTAAAGCCCTCATCTAATGATAGGAGAGCTGTTATAACATTATTAGTTAAGCTTTAAAAAGAGTTGGGACTAATATCAAGTTGATTGATTTCTAAAGAAGACAGTGTGGAAATTTGTAAGTAATATTAAAATTACCAGTTCTTGTAGAAGCGACGGCGACAGTCTTCGGACATGTGCTCTGCCCACAATGTCATTAATGTACGAAGTCCATGTGGTGTTTCGATATAACCAACAACACCAACACAAACCATAGGTGGAGTTTCAATAATGGTTACAGCCTCCACAATTTCTTTCTTGTTAATCTCTGTAAAGAACGAAATATAGAATTAAGCTTGATTTATAAAAAAAAAATATTATCACTGTAAAAGTCTGCATGTACTTACTTGAACCAGGACGGTCAGGTTCGCGGACCACGTGGGTCATACCCGCCTTGTAACCAATAAACGCCGTTAGATGAACAGGCTTGCTAGAATCATCCTTTGGGAACGCCTTCACCTTTCCACGATGACGACGGGACCTCTTCTTGGGGTAGAACCCCATAGACCCATGACGAGGAGCCGAAAACTTTCTATGCGACTGAAATCGTAGATTTCGTAAATATGTTTTCAAAACATATACACTTAAGTTAAAAACAAGTGCAGAATCAGTCCGCCCTAGTATCTTCACATGGATTCAGGTTCTAACCGTATAATTTTAAGAGTTTGTTATCATCATGTTGTACTTAAATATGGAATCAATTATTCTTAAACCAAAACACAGTAGAAAACTACCGAGCTTAATTAAAATTTAACCAGCAGATTACAATAAAATTTCCAGATTAATAAAGAATACTTTACACGAGCACTTACCATCTCTAATGATGATCGCAACAAAATGGACGATATCAACAACTTCAACAGCTATTGACAGCACTGATGTTGACAGAAAGTGAAATAGTGCTGGACGGTGTATCTCTGTATTGTACATTGTCTTTGTTTATCATAAAATCGATTAACTGCTTTTGATGAATTTATAACTAATTTTGTCTTTTATTATTTCTAGCAATAACTGCAAAATATTTGAATACACCTATTTTTTTAATATTTTGTTTCTCTTTTATTAATTGGTAATACTAATATCACAAATTTTTAAGGTCTATTATATAATGATCGGTGCTGTGCAAGCGATATCGATTCAATCAATATATAGCCTGTGGTTCTAATTTTACCTGTAAAACTTGTGTATCAACCAAGGTGTCAACACTCAACATTTAAGTTATTAGTTTTATTAGTTAACTAAATATTGCCTACAAACTTTATCGCACAGGTTTACTAAAATTTGTGTTTTCAATATTATAATCAATTAAAATAACTAGTACTGAATTAAGTCTATTTCTACTACTATTTACTTAAAATGGCGGGTCCCATGGATAGAATACAAGTGTTGGATGAAATTGAGAAAGATATCATCACTTGTTTACAATGCGCAGGTACAATTTAATACCGACCGTGAATAAGATGTTTATGATTTGGTTTTATATCTATAATATTTGATTTTAGCTCAAGCTCTTCTTGAATTAGGTAAAGAAAAATCTAGTCAAAAACAGGCAGAAAGCAATACATCTCAATTTCTTAGAACACTTAGTCAAGTTGAATCAAAATTAAGTGACCAGATTAATTACCTCACTCAGGTATCAACTGGACAGCCTCATGAAGGTTCTGGATATGCATCTCAAAAAGTACTACAGATGGCATGGCATAGATTAGAACATGTCAGATCTTGGGTTAACGAGCTGGAAAGACTGAAAGCAGCTCATTTAGCTGCAAGCCGGTCAATTTCTGGTGTGGCAAATGGTGGAATGACTTCATCTGGGACAAGTACCCAGTGATTATTAAACTTAAGTACCTTCCAATTACATATTTTGTTGTTAATGGTCCAACATTGATTGTCAATTTTCTTCTACATAAAATACTGTTTTGTCACTACCATAAATTTTCATTTTCTTTAGTTATTATTATATAATAGGTGGTTAAGTATCCAACAAGAAGTTACAGTAGAAGTATATAAAATATAACAAGGTTTATGAATTTTATTTATCATTACTTTAAATCAAGTAAGTGCTCACAATAGAAAACTGGTAAATGTTTGTTATTGTCCCTATGTATATATAAATAACAAATATTAGGATGTAAGGAATTAAGCATAAAAAAATATGTTTATATTTAGACTGAAAAAAAAAACAAACAATGTTATGCAGCAAATAACAAAAAATTTATTACAAAAATGATATTAGTGAAATATATATACAATTTACAGATAATGGAATAAATTATATTAATACCCTCAGTGATATGACAACTAAAAACAAATTTTATACTATTTATCTTAAAAATGCATTCATTTAAGATATAATTGCAGTATGTACATTATAAATACCACTCTTAACACTCAAATTATGAATAAAATATTATTGTCCACTAATATTCAACATCAGTGTTTTTGTAAAGAATGGTAATGAAACTAGTGTCACATGAATAGTTTATATAATTGTCTAAATGGACTCATAGGCTCAGTGATCCATATTTGCAAGAGCAAATGTTGATGATCCAATCAATTGAATTATTCCTCTTTTCAGCTACGTTGATTTGCGTTAGCTTTCGTGAATTTCTCTATGTCGTCTAAAGATTTCTTAGCCTTAGAAGATATATCATCCATGGATCGTCTTGCAGTTGTAGTTATATCATCAATTGACTTTTTTGTTTGAGAAAGCAGTTCATCGGTACTTTTGCATGCAGATGTAGCTAATTCTTTGATTTCATTATCAAACTTTCCAATTACCCATTCAATCGCTTGACGACCTTTACCAGCATTAAGTGATATTTTGTTTGTAAGTAAATCTTCCATATAACTGCTCAGCGGTACACCCTTTAAAAATAAATTTATTATTTAAACGGTAAGAGAAAAAATATGTAAACAGTGTACTTTAACAGTATGAATATGAATGAATATTTTTGGTGCAAAAACCACGTAATTTCTGATACTATACAGAATATACAAAATCAGTCTTAAAATCTTTATAAATGTGTATATTTTTTATTTTATACATTCCTTAAAAATAGAACTTTAAGAGTTATAACATCTTTCAATATTTCCTTTCTATTAATAATATGTATTTAAATATCAAAGCTTTAAACCCTGGTAATCTAGCACTAAAAGAAATATACATATTCAATAATTGAGCTAAAACCAATAAGCATAACAGAACATACCTAAGAATTCTGTTAGCTTAAACAATATTTATAATTATATTTAATTATTATAATCTTTTATTATATTTAACTTAATATAATAAAATAAATTTACCAAAACTTACTTGTACAGTGACAACTGCTTCTTGAGTAAGAAGGGTCTTTGAAGCATCTGATGGGTGCGGTGTATACCGAACAGTTTCATCCACAGCAATGTAACGACAAAAAGTCAAGTTGGTAGTCTTTAACACCATTTGGCGCTGATTGGGATTGACTTCAGATTGTTCACTTGCATAGCAGATTTTTGCAGTACCAATAAGCTTTAAAGAATAAGGAGTTTTGAAAAAGGCTCACATATTATTATGAAAAAAAAAGGATAAGTAAATAAAATAATTAACTTACGGCCTGTGCCCATCTAGGGAAAAACCACTTAGAGCTAACAAGTCTGTGGGTATGTAAAACACCATCTACAACTTTTCTTTCGACGACATCGATTCCGACAACAGCTGGATTCATAGGATTTGGGTATTTACGCCAAGCCGCTTGAGCAACTGTCTCCCAAGGATGGCTATAAGAAACAAAAAGGGAAATAAAGAATTGATTTTATCAGTTGTAATCACATAATTGAACATTACCCGATTGCGTCACAACATACTTAAATGTGTGCTCTGAAGTCCAAATCTTCATATTTGTTCGTTTTAGATCGTAGTAACAATTTCGTGAAAATAACCACCTTTTATTCAATTTTCAGTTTCACAAGATAGGTAAAATACAAATTACGAGTTTAGAAACATTTTCGTTTATAATATTCTGACGCCAAAATGTACCTCTACATTTGACGCTGAGTGAAAAAGGAAAATATAATTTAACAATGCTAACAGCTGTTGACACTTGAAAATTGACATTAACATGTATATTACAGAGTATAAAATCTTTAAGTAATTAACAGCATTAGAAATAATTTGAAGGGGATCATATTTTATTATTCGTTCTTCTTTATTCGTATGTAAATAAGTCCAACTTTATGTATTTCTCAATTGTTTTATTGTATATATGCATGCATAGAATTGATTAATTTGATGCCAATGAACTGCCAGATTTAAATATACCATTCAATAGGTATATATGTAAAACTTAACGCGAATTGTTTTAGCTCCAACTAAACACGAATGTGGAAAATGAACATTCCTGAGACTAGTAAGGCAATAAAAAACGAACAATCCAAAATGATCCGGGAAATAGAATTTATGTAAAATATTGTTATTATTTTATTACAAATGATTAAGAGAAATATAAATGTTGAATAAGCAATTTTAATAATTCTATTTAGTACCTATATTTACACAATTTTTTATAAAACAATAAAGTATAAAACACAATTTAAAAGTGACTCACATAATTAAAAACAATTTCATTGATTTTTGTTTATTTTTGATTTTAATATAAAAAGTTACAGGGTCGAGTTAAAAATCGTTAAAAATCGACATTTGGCGGACGTATTTGAATTTTGAAGCTAGTTTTAGGCATAAGCAAGGGTAAAGCAGTTTAGCAGATTACTGCTAAACGGCATCATGTATTTCGTTTTACGTCTGTGTACTAAAGAAATGCTTATCTGTTTTTCAAACACTGAACATTGATCATAAAAACGAAAAAAAATGCGCACTGACTTTGACATATATAGATATGTATTTCTAACATTGAATTTTACGTGCCTTTTTAGTTTTTATTACTAGGAAATTGCCAACTGATTGGTGGCAGTAATAATGATAGTTTAGTTTAATAATTTATTGATTACAAAAAATATTTTTTAAAACTATAATTTAATTTCACTTATTCCGTGGTTTGATAATATACGAGTTAGTTTACGAATTTATTATTTTTCAGAGTACCCACTTTGAGTATTTAATTTATAAAATTAAGATGAGAAAGTCACAACTGTAGGCCACTGTAAACTCTTGTAAGTATATATAGAATTATTTAAGGCTACTAAGAAGTATTAATACTTATTTTTTTTTGTATTTAATTTAAGATCTTTTTTGGAAACATGAATGTTTTACTTTTTGTAATTTCTACAAAAAATACCTATTCCAATTTAATTATGAATATAATAATTATTAACCCCTGATGTAGACTGTACACAAAACAAAAAAATGGGTTTAAAAGAGGATGACACTACTCTGCGGTATAGAAGAGCTCAGAGTGTCACAACAGCTGAAGATATCACAGAAAAAGAAAAGAAGGCCAGAAGATCACAGTTTGATAAGCCGTATGCAAATCTTAATTATATCCTCATAACACATAAAAATGTTAATAAATGCTATATATACTGTTTGTTTAATTATTTCTTGATTATTTGTAGATGCCACAAGCCCAGAGATTCCCTTTTTTCATGGAGCTCAAAATTTACAAATTTTACTGGCTTAGTGAATTGGGGATTTCTTATGTTAACTATCAGTGGTCTAAGATTGTGCCTTGAAAACTTTTTAAAGTAAGTCTAAATATTTAAGTAAGTTAATTCGGACAGAAAAAATGTTAACTAGATGGAATGTGAATTGACCCAGCTTTATTATATCTTATTAAGATACACTGTTGACTGATACCTCTAGATGAGATGGTTTTAGTCTAATTTTCCAGACAGTCTACAAAGTATAAGAATACAATTTAGAAACATGCCAGATCTTGTGGAAATAAGATCCACAATCCATTGATTATTATGAATATCAAACATCATTTTTAATATTAATATAAGAATAGGGTTTATAAATCTGTATTTATTTTAGGTATGGCATTCGTGTAAACCCTTTTGAATGGGTTATTGTTTTAACTGGATATAATGAAGACTACAATCACCAATATCCATCAGTTATATTGCTGATTTGTATGTATTGTCTTGGTTTTATACATATAAAACATAGAAGGTTTATACATATAAGTTTTTTATTAGCTTAATTCTTTATCTGTTACAGTTAGTGGAGTTATTCCAATAGTGTGTCTTCTGGTTGAAAAAGCAATTGCTGCAGTAAGTAGATTTCATATATTAAAGAATATTTCCGCATAATTCCGAAAATTTATAGTGTTTTTTTATTACAGAATGTTATCTCTGATCGAGTGGGAGGAACCATACAAATTTTAATCATCTTATTCGAAATTAGCTTGCCTGTTATTGCTCTCAATTTAACAAATCAAGAATTTAATATTGGTTGGTATAAGCTAAATTATAATAATAAATGAAAACCTCCCACAACTAAATGGGTTCTTAGAAACGATTTAAATTACTTATAATCTAAATTGAATAAGAAAAAACAAAATAGCAGAACTTCAGGCTGAATACAAATTCTTTATATAAAAATAAATTATTGCATTTTATTCCAGTTGGCATATCCACAGTCTGCATGGTTTATCTAATTCTATTTTTAAAACTGTGGAGTTACTGCCAAACTAATCACTGGTGCCGACTTGCAGCTAAAGGAAACCATTCAAATTCAATGCGTCGACAGAGTTTATCTATGCCTAATTGCAGTAAGTATTACATAACACATTATTCAAAGATAATAAATGATTCTTTATAAATTCCACAATTTAAACGTCATGACATTTTTTTACATTGATAGAGTTGTATGGCGAGATTAGTAATTGTAATAGAAAGAGTATAGAAGAGAGATAGATGTGTACCGTTGTTATCTTATTAAGGTGTGGTGTCACCATAGTTACTGTGTTACAGAAAATCGATGACACAGGGGAACCTTATACCTATAAGGTTAATATTGACCATTGTATCAAGTAGTCACGTCATCGTTTCTTTAATATAAAAGACATACAATTTCATAAATATATTCTAACAGTATGTCAGTGAAGGCCATAAGACGTTTGCCTTGCGACAGATTGACCCTTAAGCTGAGGGCAATAATCATTTTTTGACCTTGCTTTGGACGACGATAATCAATGTAATTATCTCGGTGTAATGTCCCATTCTTTACGGATATATATTTTTACAGTGCAATATAACTACTGATTGTAATAAATTAATATAATGTGCTGTCAAATCACTTATCTAACTGTGTTTTTGTGATTATTAGCACATATTTGTCTTATCACCGATAAAAATGTCATTGCCCTGATTATTGAAATCAATGGTTACCTACATGTTATAAATCTGTGTGTTTTTAGATTATTTATACTACATTTACAGAGAGATTAGTCATGGTTTGTAAAAATGTAACTAAACTTAAGTAAAGTTTAGGAGGGCCTGATAGGTTCTGGTAACTTTAAATTCTTCGGTTTTCTGATAAAAATATAGGGATATTGTCTACCCCTTAGACCATATACCTATAGATGTAACGCTAAATTTTAGGACGCCATAGAATCATTATAATTTCTGCGTGACGAACAAAGATAGAAAGATACATTTTTGTCCATGTCTCCCTTGCTCAATTTTGAATCGTACTTGATATAGTCGCTGTAGGAAGTAGGTATTGTAGAAAAATATTCATTTTGAGACAAGGGCTCTTTCTTTAGTTAGAGATTATGGTAAGGTGTTTTAGGCAGTAAAATATGGAATGAGCAAAACAAAAAGCTAGTTGTCTAATATGTAGCCAGGGCAAGATTACATCTATAGGTATATAATCTAAGATTGGACAACTCAACCCCCCCCAACACTGGAGGCACCAAGAATTCACTTTATTAAATTGCATTGTTTACAGATGAGCTTGATATCGCAGATTGTGATCGTAAGTTTTTTTTAAACGGCACGTTTTGCACTGCATATGCTTTTTAGTGTGCCTAACAAATACTGTATGCAATCAGAATTAATGTATTCGCCATCTTGTATTAAAAAAGTGTTTCCAAAAGTTTAAATTAGATTGTCTTCGTAATATTGTTATCCATTTAGTTGGAATCATAGATCCTTGATATTCTTATCACTGCTTAAGATTGACGATATAACTACATAGTTTTTTCGAGGAAAATAAATCCTTCAATTATACATAAAGTCAAAATAGGTCGCGTATCTTGTTTAGTTTACGGCTCGGGTTTTCACCTTCCATCAAGCGAACTCGAGCTTTTCTGTTTCCCTCCTTGAAAACATTCTTCTATGCTAATTACACTTTAGGCTGTGTACTGGGCCTAAACACAAAAGGCTTAGGTGTTGGTCCCATAAAATCCTTGTTTGTGCTAATTTCACTCAATTGCTTTTTCACGGCACTTACTATGATGACTCAGTTTAAAAATAATACTTACTAATTTTTATTGTGTGATTCACCTACACACTAGGATAAAACTATTTTTAACGAGTTACTCATGACTGCAGCTTCTAAAAATCACTAGAAAATCAACATAATAAGTTCGTGTTTCAACTCGTTTTTCTTTCTTCACAATAAAAAACAAACAATTTTTAACGAGTTAACTACAACTTCTTAAAATGACACAAAGTCCGGTCGACATTAGATTACTTTATAAATATCGGGTTTCAACTCGTTGAAAATAGTTTTATTTCGTAGCAACTTTACTGACTTGTTGTCAGTAAAGTATCACGAGACTGATATTTTTTGGAAGAAAATTTCCTAATGTAAATAACTCTTGTCCTGCAGAAAACCTAGATAATGACGTCACCACGGGAATAGTTCAGTATCCTGATAACCTGAGTCTTAAAGATTTATTCTATTTCCTGCTAGCACCAACCCTCTGCTATGAATTGAATTTCCCTCGCACGACTCGGTTAGTAAAGCGCATGCTTTGTTAGTTATAACACATTATTACTATCACTATAACACATAGATAGGTTTATATTATTTACGCTCCGACAATACCACGGAAAGCTAGCTAGAGTAATAGTGGGTTCAAATCCCACCCGTGTTATCGATGTTTTCAATTTTAATTTTATTAGAGCCATTGTGCACTGTCGACCAGTCGCGGGCGACTCAGTCTCTCGGCGACCAAACTTTGCGTCGCCACTACTTGGTGAGTCGCCGAGTTGCCTGGGCGACCGACGATTCTGTGCGCACGCCCCCATTTCAACCATAGTCACTTACAGTCGGCGACTAGTCGACGGTGCGTAATAACGCTTAAGTAGCTGACATATCTTACTTTTTTGCAATTAAAATATTATATATAGTATTTAGAAACAATAAATGCAGGTTATATGGAGGTGTAAATTGCCTATGATTTTTATTATATATTATTCATAGAACATATTCACAAGTTTTTGAAATAACCTTATAATAGCTTTAATATTTATAATTTACACGTGTTAATACACTTTAAAGAGACGTATAGGCATAGTTGAAAAATCTTAGTTTTGGTAAATTTGATCATAGCGTTTGGGTCCCGAATGTGTTATAACACATACGTGTACCTACGTAAAGGTAAAACTCCGTTCCCCTTGGGCATGGGGCTAACACATTTCTATTTCCGTTTAACTGATCGGTTTTATATACAGAAAATCAGTTGATTACCCTACTGCCCTGCACGACCAAAACAATATTTTGTTTCACCGGGATTCGAACCCAGGACCTCTTGTGTTAACGCACTGCTAGACAACACGTGTAATAATTTAGATACAGTGTACATATTTTTCAAATCTAAAATGCTTCGCATCATACATTCATAACATTTGTTCTAGTTATAATGATTTTTGTACATATTGTATAGATTTCTTTCCTTTCACTGTTCTTATTATGTCTTTATATTTTTCAGTATACGAAAAAGGTTCCTTATCAAACGTATCGTCGAGGTAATATTCGGTGTGAACCTCGTAATGGCGCTGTTCCAGCAATGGATGATCCCAGCTGTCCAAAACGCCTTGGATCCATTTTCACAGATGGACTACGTCAGAATAGTGGAGAGACTGCTGAAACTAGCCGTAAGTTTGAGACAATTATGTTTAAAGAGTTCAACGACTGGATCAACACTTTGGTCCAGTTGTCTGTACAGTTTTGGCAGTATCCTTTACAACTATACAAATAATAATCAATTATAAATAGATTAGCAGCATGGTTTAAAATTATTCCATAAATTACTTACTGAATTTTTCATTAGAACAGCTGATTTCTACTCAATAGCACGCATATTTTATAAACGTTAGAAATGATATCATTAAATTAGAGTAAGACTTTATTGTAATAGAAGCAGTTAAAAGAGAACCAAAAAAAAAACGACGGGGTCGTTGGTCTATCTAATTGTATTGCTAATAATCAACAAGTCGTGGATTCAATCCCCACTGGTTTTAACACGTTCCTAATCCATTTATATTTTTTCTGAAACATGTTGGACTTCAGGAAACCTGGGTATTAAAAGGGTGGTTGGAATATCGAAATTCCGATCGGATCACGCACCACAAATGAAAAAGCCGAAAGAGATTTCTAAACCCCTAAATAGGCATCTTGATTAGATGTTATTCTTTCGGCTATCTCTCGATTTCTTCTTGCCAATTTTAAATATAGAAGTATTTTAGGATTGCATCAATGTAAAAAATTGTTTTTGTTTATTCCATTAATAAGTCTTGGATTTTAACGCCTTTTTTAAATATTTATTATTTCAATTTCAGGTACCCAATCATTTGCTATGGCTGTGTTTCTTCTACCTCACATTCCACTCCTTTCTAAACCTTATGGGCGAGCTGCTCCACTTCGCGGATAGGAACTTCTATGGGGACTGGTGGAACGCTAAGAATATCTCCATATTTTGGAGTTCTTGGAACATGCCAGTTCACATTTGGGCGGTTCGGCACGTATACGTGCCCGTCACTAACATGGGTTACAGCAAGGGAGTTTCAGCTATATTAGTTTTCTTCATATCAGCCTTCTTTCATGAATATGTGGTAAGCATTTTGGAAATCACAGTACATTCCTTTCTCCTTATAAAAATCCTATTTACGAATATTTTTTTAGCATTTGAAGTAGTAAAACCCTTCATTATTTAATTATTGTGTGAAGTTTGCAACTATATAGATTTCAACTAAAACACATTAGACGGTTTAAAACGCGAAATATATTAATTAAACTTAGTTGAAAATAATTCTAACTACGGCCCGACGTTTCGGATTCTTGGCAGACTCTCCGTGACCATGGCTGCTATTGTGTTTCGCGTTTTAAACCGTTAGTGTTCTATTTAAACTATATATTTAAGTTAACTTTTAATGTACATATCATATTGTTTGTGATCCCGGAACCACAGCTGCTGTAAAGCATCCGAAACGCCTGATCTTTGAAATAAATTGAATTATTTCACGTTTTAAAGCGTTTAAAGACTTTTTTTAATATTGTAGAATGGTTTATTATATTGTATTACCCTATGTTTTGTCTTTCCAGGTGAGTGTGCCACTGCAAATGTTCCGCGTGTGGGCATTCCTAGGCATGATGGCGCAGCCGCCGCTCGCTGTCATCTCGAAGGTGTTTGAGCAGAGACTGGGCGACCGCTGGGGCAACATGGTCGTCTGGGCTTCCCTCATCCTCGGGCAGCCGCTCGCCATCATGATGTACTACCATGACTACGCGGTTGCACATTTCAACTCTTAACCTCCAAATGCAGTGGAAGAAGTGAAATATTTTGGTCTATGATAATATAGAAGATGCGTTTTTTACAATTGACCAAATTTTTCAGTCTTCTTTCGATCTGTTCTACTTATTCGATATTTTCTGATTTTGCATGGAGCTTACATTACTACAATTAAGCCAAAGAAGTTTCAAAGCAATTTTCTCAGTGAGATTATGATGCTGTTAATGCCGTAATTTTAAGGAAAAGCAATTGTTTAATTATAAGTAGCGGCACGGATCTTTAGCGCTGAACGAATCCTGCGCAGAAGTAAAAAATAAGGTATCGAAGGGACGGAAGCGGGCGCGGGGCGAGTGAACGTCATGTGCGCTAGCGTTGATTGGTTCCTGTTGTCCTTCTCGGACCAATACGACGATCTGCTTGCTTCTCGAGTACAGTCGCGTTTTCCAATCAATTACGTGCGCGATTGTACCGACGCGCAACTGTCCCCTCTACATTTCGTTCAGCGCTAAAAATCCGTGCTGCGACCTATAGGTACATGGGGTTTAATTTTAAAACAATGTTACTATTATGTATATCTGTGTATAAGTAAATAAGTACAAATAATAACAGGGAAATCAACGCTGTACGAATTTAAAAGTATATTTATTCTTTAGAATTATTTTTGAATGTTACCTTTATATATTCCAAAGCTGATTGAATCCATTGATAACTATGTATTTAAAAAAATATGTGCCTAACAAATAGTCTTATCATAACAAAGGTGCCTTATCTTAGCTTAAACGTTAGTTTGTCGTTTAAATAAGATTTTTATACGCATTGTTTTAAAAGATTTTAAAAATACTTTATCAATCGGCAGTGCCATGGTATCTATAAATTAGGATTATCTTTTTACAATGTTGTTCTTTGGTTATACCATTGTTTGCATTTTATAAAGATGTATGAACATTGTATAAGACATACAATACCTCACTAACAAGCTTTGGTTATGTGTTGTGATGGTTATATAAAGAACATTTAATGCTATAAATTATTTATTAGCAATATAATTATTGAAATTTTAATATATAATATGACAAACTATAGTTTAAGACTGCTTGAAAAGTATAGAAGTTTGTAATTTATTTATTTTTGATATTGGGGTATATTTTTGTAATTTTCTATTCTCTTACAGTGATTTTAAAATATTAAAAAAAGTTGTATGTATTCACTTATAAAATTGAGAAGCATTTTACATGATTTACGCAGCTTTAAAAAAGGTAAATTTTATTTACTGCCATGAAATGAAATTAATTTTGTTATTTATGTCAATAAATTTTTTAATTTTACAATTGGTTTACTTCGCTGAACTCAATGACGTTAATGGTCAATGCAATGGATTTTCTCTATGGTTAGATTCTTTTATGTTTTTTATTCATTAAAAATAATCATATAAAATATTATAAGTAAAAGACATAAAAGATATTTATGTATTCATATCGTGTTACATACAAAAACGTGACATGCTTTTCCCCCTTGTTTGTGACACGCAAATTCACCCTGCCCCAAAACATGTGCATAGAACGATTGCTTATTTCTTGGAAGGACATCGAATAAAACCGTCACAATCGTCACGATTTTACAAAATCTTGAGCACATACTCTTCTATTCTTCTAGCAAAACTTGATTATTTTCAAAGCGCGTTAAGGAGACAGTATAATCGCGGCGCTGAAAAATATATAAACATTTCTCGTCAATTACATATATTATAATTAACAATCTTATTGATTATTTATGAAAGTAATATATAATTTTACAAAATTCATAATTTGATTTGGGAAGCCTATGTAGTAGCTCCTACGTCAACGTTATCAGATCTTTCAAATGAAAACAGACAGTCAGATTTAGTTTTTTTTTATTATTGTTGTGAGTGTAGGGCGATGAAGTCAAAACATAAGTTGACAGGTTCACCTTAAATAATAAAACATCTAGAATTGAACATTAAACTAAAGATGCAAGTTGCACCAAGATCTTTAGTGATATTGTTGGAGTTTATATATATTGATATTGGCTGGCAACACTTTATTTGAAAAGATGTTCACTCTATTTGAAATTCACAGGATATTGTTTTATGAAAGAAAACAATGACTTCTCTTCTCGACACGCCGGACGAAACACGTCAGAGTTTTTGTACATTTATTATACAAAATATGTATATATAAAATATTATTTTAAGCTTTTATCAATACTTAATATTGATAGCTACAGAGAAGTAATTGCATAAGCGTGCAACCTCTGACTCGGCACAAAGACATGTGCAAAGGGCGACGAACGATTATCTCATCGTATATAAGGTCAAACAATCCATATTAACTCAGATTTACATTACTTTGTTCCAATCAAATAGGTAATATTTTCTAATATCAGTTAATTTGATTTATTTAACACATTGTTATTTTGTGCGTGGTTTGGAACCACTAAATGTAAGCAACATGAATTAAATGTATCCGAATATGCAAAATAGATCGACGGCACATCTTGTTTGGATGTTATATGGCTGGGATATTTCTTCTTCCATCGAGTGAACTTCATGCTTTTCTGTCCTCCTGTAACATAAAAAAAACCTTTATTATGGCTAAGGCCAAAACTAAAGAAGTATTTTAAAACTTAACATAAATTCGACAGAGACAATACTCGAACCCAATATCATCAGAGTACCACAAGACACAAGTATATTTCAATAATAAATAATATTTGATCTTTGCGAAATAAATTTTAAATTTTTTAATATAAAATTTCAAGTCTTCTTATTTTTGGAAAATGGTATCCAATTAACTTACCTATCTATATAGTGTTATAAATAAGAATTAGAAATTCCACATTATTGTTGCCGATTTACAACCGAAACTGCAACGGAGGCGATGAAGATAAAAAAATACCTATATATTAAACTATTATATCAGTTTAAAATCGCGGACTATAAGTGAGAATGTGTAAAGCGCAAACATACTCTTTATGAAAGCCATGGAAGGAATTATTAAATTCTAAGCAACAATAAAACCCGAAAATTTATGAACACTCTATGTGAAATATGTAAAATAAGGTCGGGTTAAGGATCATCAGACGTTGGAGAGGAGCATGGGACCGAGGGTGGGTGGGTGTTGAGGAAATCAATTGATGAAGAGCGTCTGATACCAGCGCGTACGTGTTTCGCCTCTGGGAGCCAGCCCCTCAACCTGAAGACACCTTATACTCGTTACCTATTGTTTGTCAACAATCCTCAATGTATGCAGATTAGAACCTACGGAGATGTATCGTCCAGCTAGTTTACATCTGGGTATAGATAAGCTATGGCTAGAGATAAAAATTAAAACTAATTACAACTTATTTTTCGCTTATGCCGAATCAAATTCACTTTCTTTAAATATACTTTTCAGGCAATGTTTTACGTTTAGCTAAATGGTTTATACTGTTGCAATGTAATATGTTAAGTGCCTGAAGTCCTAGGTTCGAATTCCGTTGTAATTTTTTAGAGTTTTCATCATGCGGATTAGAGGAACGGGTACATAAGTGTGTTCACCATTTGTCGGTTTTTTTACTGGTTTTGTGTATTTAAATAAAACACTTTAACGGTTTAAAACGCGATATATTAGTTAAAAATGATTTTTAACTTCGGCCCGACGTTTCGGATGCTATGCAGCAGCCGTGGTCACGGGGAGACACGGGTTTTGTGTAATAAAAATAATATTTCTTTAATCAGGTACAAACCCACATCTTACAAATATGTTATAAAACAATAAAAATAAAAATAATAATAATTGTTACGAATCAGTTAATATTACTGTTTATTTGCGGTTGCTGTCAGCATTTTTGCCCAGTTCCTTAAAATGGGATTGCTCAGGTACTCGGAGAGAGTTAACGCGTCTCCAAAATGAAACATGTTGGACACCGTCTACAAATCTGGATTTGAATGGATGTTAGGAATGTTAATTTCCGCCCTGGTTACGAACACCGCCCACTCATAAAAAAGTCGTCAAGTTTAATCGGATTTCTCAATATCCAAAGTTAAAATAGGTCGATAGCGCATTTGGTTATGATGTAATATGGCTGGGATATTACACCTCCCATCAAGTGAATGCTTCGGTTCTTCTCCATCATAAAAAAATATACATATAATTGTTTATTGTAGATATTTAACAATTAACTAAGCGATCGTGTACACGTTAAGCGAGTTAATCATATAATAACATTCAAGTTGGAAACCGCTAACAATGTTGACCGTGGTAAGTAAACAGCGGAGGCTGCGTCAGCCAAAACTCACACGCGCATCCCAACCCGACTGTGCTTTTAACTCAATCAAACTTTGTTATAACAACTTTCAAAAGCCCATTTTATATTCGTCTTTACTGTCACAGAATTAATTATCTTCAAACTAATGAATGCTTATAATGAAATGAAAAATGCTTTTGATACGACACAGAAGTAAAATATTTAAAGTTAAGAAACATGGAATTGATATTTGTGTAAAAAATCAGATCATTTTACATTGAGAAAGCTTCTTGCACTGCAGTTCTAAAAATCTTAAATTAGGTATGACTTACACATATAAGTTGCATCAAACAGAAAGTATTGTTCAATTTTTTAATTAGTTTTTTAAGTTTCTTTAAAATAATATGTCCTCCCAAAAATTAAAGTTAAAACTTGTATATCGAAGTATCAATGTAAGTCACTTTTCGAAGTGGTGGAATAGTTGTACATTTAAGTAGTAAAATTGGTTTTTAGTGATTTTTAATATGACGCAAACATTAATGTATTTTATCAAAATATCTACAAATTAATATTGTAGGTAGTTCTCGTAACTTATCATAAAAATTAAAATATTTCGAAATAGAATTATCTAACTTGGAAAATGCAGCCCGGTTTGAGTTTATTGTTCTTATTATTAATTGGAGCATCGTTTCAATTATTTAAGGATAATAAGAAGGGGTTAGATGTTTAGAGTGGCGGGTAGAGGTCGGTGATTAAATGTAATTCGGGATTACGCTGACTTGTTAACCCCTCGCGGTCGTCCATCCGTGAAATCACTGCGTGGAGAACGCTATCCTATAATACTAGCCACATAGCAGTGTATTGTTTGACCTTCATTAATTTTATACAATGATTAATCATCAACAGAATCTTTCTTTAACACGCGATGTTCAATTAAAACTTGCTTCAAAGTCTATCGTTTTTAAAAATAACTCAAATTTCACTTTCTTAATATTTTTAGTATGAATAGACATTTCTTGCCCAAATTTGGGATCACGTGGTTACATAGCACGACTAGTATCAGACACTAGAAATTAACAAATACGAATCTTCATAGTGACCTTTTAAAGTGATGTTTTAAGCGTTTTGACATACTTATGTCTATACTAAAGGCATAAACTTAACGAGCATCCGTGAATTGAGCGGTGTCGCGTACACAAGCATTTTATATACTTTTGTATGTGTATTTACTACACTTTAGTTAGGTACATGTGTAAGTGTGGTGTAAATATGTTGTGTTTATGTTGTGATGTCTCATTGCTAGCGGCTATGTCTATAAGGTGGTAGCAGTGCGCGCGTCGCACAACGTCATTGGGTTATAGGGCGGAGGTTCGCGCCGCCCTGCGTCGCGGCGGCAGTCCGTTTCCGGCTGGCGCGCGTTTAGTACGCTTTCATGGTAGAACACGCGCCCGACGACTGCTCTCAGTCGAGCGCTATGCAGACTCTCACACCGCAACCGCATAGAGATGCGGATGAGGAGCAACTCGCCGACGAGTACGTTCAAAACTTTGAACTGGATCATCTCGAAGATCAATTGGTTAAACGCGAGCCGCTGAGGTCGGGATGGCACGATCTCGCTGAAGTCCTCCCGGCCTGCGCCCGCGCCTGTCGCCAGTGGCCCGACGCAGGACCCTACCCGCAACCGCACGTCGCTATCGCTGTCGATCCCAGCACGCCGCCGGAGACTCCGCCGGCGCCGATCGGACGTAGTCCATGCCGGGCGCCGCCAGTGGATGACGTGTTGTGGCTACCGCATATGAGAGAGCCGCTCGATATGCGCACCGTACCTTGTGGAAATTTTGAAGAATGGGACCGCCGGGAATGGAGGGCCCAAGACCACCACATCCAACAAGTCGGGCTGCGACCCGCAAGTTCTTGCTCCGCGCTGTCTCCGCGGACCGGGCCTCACCCTTCTTATCAGCCTTCTTCTTGTGGCGACGACCTCATTAGTGACGATTTGCTCATGACGTTGAGCGTTCGGGAACTGAATAAGCGGCTTCACGGGTTTCCGCGGGAAGACGTCACGCGATTAAAACAAAAACGTCGAACGTTAAAAAACAGAGGATACGCTCAAAATTGCCGCAGTAAAAGGCTTCAGCAGAGGCAGGAGTTGGAGTTGGCCAACCGTTCGCTGCAGGATGAGTTGCATCGGCTCCAGTTGCAGGTCGCTCGCATGACGCACGAGCGGGATGTGCTGAAGCAGCGGCTCTCTTTGTTGGGCTGCGAGCATGCGGTGCCGCAGCACGCGGGCCACGCACCGCCGACGCCCCACTCTTCGCCGGAGTTCTTCTCGGAGCTGTGACGGCAGGGCGCGGCGCCGCGGGCTTCCGCCGCCGCCTCCGCCGCTGCCTCAAACGCTTCCTCCGCTTGCGCTTGGCAGCGATATTGACTTCACGACGGACTGCTCGTGCTTTTGTTAAGTTTGAAGTTGATAATCAGTTCCAGTTTTATAGTTTTTTTATTGATGGAATGATCCGACCGACGGATTCGGTGGGGAGGGCTATTATACATCGTGTTAAAGAGATATGTATGGTTGTGTCGTAATTTATGCATAGCTTCGTTAATATAAATCTATGTATTACATATACATAAGTTATCTGAATGACTCGACATCCGATTGGACAGATATAAAATGATTGTAAATAGACTTATACCTACTTAAATGATAATTATTGAACTATCTATAGGATTTCTGTTTTCCTAATAAAACATTACATAAAACTCATTATTTTATTTAATCTACATTACCAAAATATAAAAATTGATACTTGTTATGATTATTGGAACCATGGTCTTTCTAGAAATATAGGATTTTTAGCCGATGGTATTGCTTAGTAAAAAAATTCGATGACAAATCAATTCTCAACCGATAAGAGCAGCAGCACGGATCGCTGTGGATGTCGGTTCAATTGCCGCCCATCAGGTATATTTTGATCACAATAGATTATTCATTTATTTGGATATCTCAGTGACCAAGTGAACGGTTTATCTGGAACTTTAATAACATTTTGTTGGCTCATGTTAAAATGATTTTTATGCAACAAGATTAATTATACAATTATTAGTTTACTGGATATGTTCTAGGTAATAGAGAAGCTTTAGTACTTCATAATCATGTTCATTTATTAATTATTTAAAGACTCGATCTCATACAAAAAATATTAGACAATATAAGTCAAATAAATTGAATAAAAGGCTTTTAACTGTTTAACATGTGAAATATTGTAAAACTTATTTATTGTACATATTTTAAAATCGATCTTCAGGTCTCCGTGACGATGGCTAATAAGTTAGCTAATATAATATATTAGATACTAAATAAATTAACTAAGATATTTCGCGCTTTTAAACCCTTGAATATGTTTTACTATAACGTATTCTACAGTTAACCAGTGTCAGAGCATAAAAAGCAACAAAATTGTTAATTAAACATGTGTCAAAGAGTTCTGTCTTAGGTAGGGTATAGTTTTAGGAAAAGACGATTGGTAGTTATTTTCGACATTTGAAAACTTTATTATTTTTTTACATGTTATTGCACATGAAGGCACTATATAATTTAACTTTAATTAACTATTTTTTTTTTTCAATTTATTTTCGATTTTTACATTATTTTCGACATGTTAGAGCTAAGTGTATTCGAGATCGAGAACAAGATACACATACAACAAAAAATATTGACTTAATTAGGAAATTTATTGAAAATTGAGCACAATGACTTACAGATGCTGAATTAGCAATACTGTAAACAAGCAACAGTGCGGCGATTGCTCAAGACTTGCAAGAATCGAGGTCGCAGTAATTAAACTGCTTACTAAACTAATATAAATTAAAAAAATAGCGGAGATGATGAGCACCTTATAACATACCAAATCAGTCTCTTGGTCTCTTGTACAGTCTATACAGAAAACTTCTCTACAACAATTATTTCATGAAACTAACTGTACCTTAGGTTTTTATAATACCTACACATTACTGACACAACACCTATACTAATATATTTTTGGACAATCTGACCCATGTACTCGGATAGACGCTTACTATAAAGTAAGTTTCGTTTTGTATTATAGGACATATTCCTATATATTCTCCGCCTCTAAATAAAATACTTCAACGATCTAAAACGCGAAATATATTCGTTTAACTTATTTACACATAATTTTAACTTATCAATTTTAATTTTAAGAAGGACGTTTCGCTGACGTTTCGACGTAACCGAAGCGTTGAGCCATAGTTAAAATATTTGCAAGCAAGTTTAACTATATATTTTACGTTTTAAACCGTTAAAATGTTTTATTTCAATGTGTATGACTCACGTTTGGACAGTATTTATTCTTGGGCTATAAAAATAGAGTAACAACTTTAAATAAAATCAATCAGTCAATGTGTCTCGTCGAAGGGACACAAGTTACATGCATACATAATGTAACTTAGACTACTTTTTTCAAAGACATTTTAAATCGAGTCGTGGAACTAAGACACAATCTATTATTTATATCTATTCCCCTCAAATTGTAGGCACACAGGTGCTTAGTAAGTTATGATATGATTAGAAATAAGATCTTTGACCGGAAGGAAGGTTATCTATACTAATATATAAAGTTGAAGAGTTTGTTGGAATGCCCTAATCTCAGGAACTGCGGGTTCAAACTGTTTTTTTTTGTTTTAGAACATTTATCGAGAAACGCTATAGGATATAACATCGCCCTGTGGCAATGCAAGCGAAGATACATCGAGAAATGTAAAAAAATATTGCTGCAAAAACGGTTCAAGATGCCCGAAAAATATATATGAAAAAATGCCTTAAAAGTTATATAACATATATTATTCTCTTCTTGCGAGTAAGTGAAAAGAAAAATGAAAACATGTTTTACTAAATTAAGGAATCAAAAATCAAATTCCCTTACAAAGTTTTGAAGTGATTTTATCTTCTAAGTAGTGATGAAGAGTATCTGTCTTTATAAATAGAGGCGTACGAAATTTAAAAAGAAGAAGAAGAAGAAAAATTACTGCTCATAAAATGTGTTATTATGTGATAACATTGTTCTAACTTTCGTTAAACAATGTATAGGTACTTGACAATGTACAAAGTTTCTAATAATTTGTAATTTGAAACGGTTTGTTATTAGAATCCGTGAACGTATCGTGTTCCTTTGATAACATTGCGACAGACTGACAGATTCACGTTTATGGTGTACATTTATAACAATATACCTATATATTATTATCTATTTGTCTTTAGCCTATACTTGACTTCACTGCGCTTGGTTTGCTAGGTCTGTATATTAATATTAAACGGTTCATAGGACTATTTAAACTCTGGGATTATAAGTCTATACACGTTTAGATATCAGTCCGTGGGTTAAAAAGATTTCACCCCCGAACCCCTTTTAATTTAAATTTCATAAAAAAATATACACTTTACTCGTAGTATACTTATTTGTATGTCGAGTCGTTCACAGCGACGATCTCAAAGCCTTCGTAGTGGGAGACGAAGGGCGTGCCTTAGATCGCCACGCCCCGCCAGAGCGAGAGGAAAAGATCACAGCCCACCGATACAACTAGCCTGAATTTCAGCTACGACGGCTTGTATAACCTTTATTGCATTTGAATAAGATCGATTATGGCGTGACGTACAAGGTTCCAGCTTATAATTAAGTTGGGTTTAGTCAGGCTATATCCAGGCCCACGCTTTTCTCTTCTTATCCACAGAGCGCTTATTATAAGCTGTAGTTGTATATAAGTCGAGGCTGTCATGCAAATGGAAGCCTGTTAATGAAGTCGAGAAGAATTATAGGCATTGTTACTGCGGGTCCAGGGATATAATGGTCCATTTTGTAGGCGTACATCATAATAATGAATGGCACAATTATTCCACTTTTATTAAACTCCACTCTTTTTTGGGAACTTCATTTTATTGCTATGGAATGACGTTGTTACATTTGCATACGATGTATCACTATATACGATGTTTCATAATGAATTTACAGTAATGATCCTACATAAGCACTGTTTAATTTTATTGTAAATTAATTCATATAAAGCTGATACTACGGTCTTCCAAAGCTTAGGGATAGATATAAACAGAAGAAGTATATTCTTTTAATGTGACAAAGTAACGTTGCATTATGCATATTTGGCATAGAGTTTTAATAGCAATAAATCGAGTAATAAACAAAAGACGACGTGATCTTAGTTTACTTTTTGTTTATGGTATTATAATTTTTGCTTAATCTGTCGTATACATTGTTCTACAGAGTATAGACTGATTTTCGTGAGGTCAGTATGGTGTGGAGTGTGGAATGTAGACAGTAGAGGGAGCGATGGCCGGGCTGTGATGAGCCAGCAGAGCTCGGCTGCGGCGACGCGGCACATTTTTCTAGTGGCAAGGTCGTTCTGCCAGCGGTGACGTCACAGTTCCACTCTACTTTCCATTTTGAGACAACCAATAAATAATGATTTTATACTTCTACAGGCCCCTGTTCCTTTTAAAAGTTCAGCTCTTATCTGTACCAATAATTTCAAGTCATTGCGCACTCAAAAAGTATCTTATATATTTTTAACCTAACACGAATATTATTATTATGCTATCTGTAAAAATTATAATTAGACAAACACGGGGCGTATATAGAAAAACGAATGTTATTATTTTCAAAAAACCACTTGGACATGTAGGTACTAGAAAACCTTTGTTTTTCTCTAGTTGGAACTATAGGGTTATTTACGTCATGTATCATCTATAGCTTACATGAGCCGTTAGTTGAAACATTACTCTTAAAAAAAGTAACATTGACCAGGGTACCTTTAAGTGTTTTTAATTGATATTGCAGCGCACTAAAAGTATTACATTAAACGCGAGAGGTCGTGAATTCGAAGGAAAATCATTAAATGTTTTGTTTACACAGGGAGGTTGGTCTGAAATGTACTAGCCTGTAATTAAAAGACACCTACACTTATTTGCCCCATATCCCACAGGATGGAAGCGGGATGTTACGTGACGATACACGACTTGGTATTTAAACATTACTAAATACTTATAAGCATAGATGGCAATGATTTATCTAATCTAATCCCTTCTCTAAACGCAAAATAGTACTGGCGTTTATATCATACTTACTATAACATGCCTTTATAAATAAAAAAATAACGATTTTAGACTGGACAAATGTTACGACATCGACGAAACTTGAACCGGCATCAGCAGCATTCCGTACTGTTGGTCGGTTTCTTATTTTATAATAATGCCATGATATGCCATAACATGTGAAAAATATTCAAGTTTTTAAATGCATTTGTTATTTTTTTGTAATTAGATTTTACTACTAATTACTAATCTTCACTGTAGAGATTATTATATCTTTTAAACGTCACAAATATTTAATTTCTCCGTATTTATTACATTTGAAAAGTTTATATATTCATGAATATCTAATTCATAATATTAGGTTGTGGAAACACCTGTTTTATTCGTCGCAGAAAGCATCTAAAAAGGGCTGATGGTGGAAAAGCAGCTTTTGCTGAGGCAGCAGTGTGCCAGCTCGGCAGGGTCGCGCCGGTCGATACTCCCGCACTAGGTCGACCCTTTTGCTTATATCTGCTGGTTGTTTTTAAACTACAAAACCATTTTTTTGTTTAGTAAAAACATCATGACTAGATACATTTTATTTTAATCTATAGATTATTTATCTACCTTTAGTCGTGAGCTTGTTAAAGACAGGACTCAAACCTACAAACCTCGGCCTGTAGTGACGACATATTCCTTTTTTTACGATTGTGCCCATTTTGATTCCACATTTAAATAACTGAAAAATAGGATATTCTGTAAAAGGCGTCGTCTTGTATTGCATTGAAACTATGGTTTTGGTCTTGGTTTTTTCTTCTTATATTAATGTTCTTATATAATGCAATTAATATACATCTTGTGTTGCTCCTGGAAAAATATTTCTGTTCTTAATAAGAAAGAGAAACTTTTACTTACCTTTTTTTACTAATAAAAATAAATAAACAAATAATGATTATTAACCTAATAAAATTGTAATTTCCATTTGAAGTATATCATGCGCATGCATTATATAATTGATTTCAATTTAAAACAACTGCATTCATACAATTCAGAAGTTTTTAATTAAATAAATGAAAAATATTTTAAGAAATTATTCAAATTTAAAATGTATCTACCAATATTAAAATATTAATAAGGAATCAATATTCAACATTAAATAATTTAGTAAATAAACATAATTTTGACATTTGAAATTTTGTTATATAAAAGATTAAGAGAATTTAATTTTTTTCTTTCTCATTAATGTCCTAATTTCTTTAGCTTCAAATCGGATACTGTATCCGATTTCTAGCTCCCCAAGAAGTAGGTGGGGTAAGAACGCGGGTCGCGTATATCGCTAACTAGGCACTATTGACAATCGATAGGTTCCTTCCAGCCCGCGTCGGCCACGCGCGACTCATCACTTTACTTGTCGCTACGTCAGGTTACTCTCCTTTTCTCGTCGTCCTTCAAATTAGCTTTGTAGGTCAGGTTTCGTACACGTGCTGTTTGTTGATATAAATTTACTTGACTGACTTCTAGACTTTTCCAACAGTCAAGATTAATTAAGAACAAGTACTTAACAGATGTTTATCTGCTACGCCGCTACGCCGTAGCACTAACCCTGCGGCCATCAACGGCGTAGCTAAATACCACTCTTTTTTTTAATGTTTTGCTTATCCATCTATCTATCTACCTTTGATCTATTATTATCTATGCCTATTTCTTCTAGCATTTAGTACACTCGACTACAGGACCAGACTTAGAACTGCAAGTTAGCCTAGCGAAATGTTAATTCGATCTTTAAATGTTTTCTCCGACAATGGTTTTTATCTATATATTTAATAAATAACCCCGGTTAACATATTTAGTTTTAGTTGCAGTGTTGGTGATATGCCGCATTGGAGCATCGAAATATATTTATAAAAGAAGCACAATAATGGGACATTAATAGATGTGTAATTGAATGTTAAGATTAAAATTAAAGTTCTATACACCTCATATAAACCCAAGTGATAAAAAATAATGTACTTTAACCTAAAATTGACTTTGCTTTTTTTGAAAAAAAAAAAACGATTACAATATATAATAATAGCGTTATAAGCTTAAGTTTTTCAAAATACATTTTTTTTGTATTTGGTACATCTTATAAAAATATTAATTTATTCTACATCTATACATCCCTTTATTCATGCTAAGCGTTAATAGAATAATGTGTAGAGTTCTTGAAGCGATCAAATAATACCGAGTACAATTGTTCCACATTGTACCAATAGAGGTTCGCGGCTTGTGGTATTTCGCGGCAAGGGGTAACTCTGTGTTTACTTATGCAAAACTTGACGAGTACATTTTGCATTCGTCTTTCCGCGTGTGTTTTATATTCGTTTACTTCAGTCGGCCGAGCTCGTAATCGGCGCCGTGTTTGCGAGGGGAATCTCTGCTGACTGAGCCCCACAAATATGTCGTAAGATTTAATAGACATGTAATGGATATCTGGATGACGTTTTAAGGATTTGTGCAAACCGAATATGTCATTTCTTTCCCGTAATTGGAATTTTATTTGCGGAATTTTCTGGATAATACCCTTTGCCCTTTTCATTTTTTGGATTATATCTGAATGACGGGCATTGTCATAGGAGCTATGACGTGAATAATTACAAATCTTTTTTATCTATATAAAGCTTTTTCACTTCACTTCTTACTTATTCTTTTGTATAAATAACTCTCAACAAACATTTAGTATAGTAAAATATATCTTTTTAAACACTCATAGGTATTGTCTAGGTTAGATTGGATTGTTATGTGGGTAATCTCATTAACAGAAATTTATTATGCAAAAAATACACAAAATAAAAATATTTATTGATTTTTTATTAGTAATTTCATTGTAAATAGCCAATAGGTCTGAGATGCATAACTTAATCGAATTAAAGCTCCCTTGAAGCTTTAACGTCCCTCAACTTACCTAAGTGTCATTCACTTCAAAAGACGAACCTGTATTCATGATTTACATCTTACTTAGATTCTATTAATGACAAGTAGAGACATAACATTTTTTTATTCACAAATTACAATCTTATTTTGTTACCATTTGATATTGTTTTCAGTTATATGTTTCTGTTAATCATACTCGTCCCTTTTATTGTTGAAGAGAACCCTGGTTAGTAATAAGGTTGCTTATTGCACTCCGATCTTTTTTATTGCAATTTCCAATAAGAAATTTGAATGAAGAAATAAGTTGATTTAGACCTTCGGAAATTATCGAGACAAATTACGATCATGGCAATTTTTCACAAATCTTGTTCTCGAATAGTTTATGCAATTTACACGAACAGAAATGCTCTACACGTCATCTTTGATCAGGTTGAAAGAGACGGGTGTGCGCCGCGGGGTGCCACCACAAAAGCGATTGTCGGCAAACGAACCGGCACATGCTATTACCACGCCACCTGCCTTCAACCTTACAGATTTATATTTTTCTCACACATTTTACTAAGCTACAACCTGCATATAAAGTAGTTATATTATAAAATATTTCCAAATAAGCAATACCCGAAAAGTTCCAATTACACAACTATTGAAAAAATAAACTCGACTTTAACACGGAAGTCCATTTTTTAGAGTAGTGTAGTCGAAGTCTCGGTTGTGACATAGTTTTTTTTTTTTCAATGCAAATATACTAAATACTGGCTGTAGTTTACGCGAGTAGTACACATTTAAATTAAACATTAACGGTTTAAAGTGTGATATATATTAGTTAAACTTATTCGCCTTACTCGGGCTGCTGCAAAGCATTCGAAACGTTGGGCCGTAGTTAAAATAATTTTCAAATAAGTTTAACCAATATAACATATCGCGTTTCAAACAGACATACTCACTTTCCAAAAATGACAAATACAACCCGTACCATCAATATTGCGACATATTAATACATTGCAGTTCTCAGTGATAACAAGGAAGTAATTCGAAACGAAGTTCCCATATTTCCAGGAAGGTTTTGATAAAGTTGTTTTGTCTACGGCCACTGAGGCTAGCATCCGGTGTGCTGCAACGGTGTAAGTATAATAAAGTTTTACTAGATACGTAGCTAGTAAGTGACCTCTTTTGTACCTTTTTTTTAATGATAGAGGAGTACAGAGAAGCATGCGATTCCAAATTTCCTGACGAAATCAACCATGTTTCAGAAATATTATAAATTGATTAGAAAATTGTTGGTCCAGGTGGGCATCGAACCACGACCCGTTGATTATTATCCGCACTTTTCTATCATTACACAAAGGAGCCCGTGAAACCTAAATGTTGAAACGTGTAACATAGCATGTTGTTCAACGAAGAGGTGCCGGGTTCGAATCCCAGTGAAAGAATAGATTGTTTCGGTCAGGACGCAGAAGTCTTATCAACTGTACGATGTAATGTAACGACTGTAAATAAAAACCAATTGATAAACCGACACAGAAATGTGCCCCATGCTTCATGAGGTAAACGGGATTTTACTTTTTAGGTTACTAGCTAAGCTTTAGGATAGTTTAGGCTTTTTAGTTACTAGTAAAGATTTTGTTATTAATTTGAACTCACCGTCTTTGTAGCTCACTTTGTAACTGCAAAGAAACAGTGATTTCAGTTGGAAAGATTATCAACTTCCTGCATGTAAAAAGGAGTGGAATGAATACAGAACAATGTTCGCCTAATATTCGTATAGCACGGGGTTTGCGACACACAGCTACATTTATTTTGTATTTATTATATTTAATACGCGACGATGATAATAGAATGTATTACACCACGTTTACAAAATTATTTTAATTTATAATAATATCTGACGTGACAATTCTTACTCTAATCTTCCGGAAAGTGTATGTCGGCCACTGTGACCTCGACGTTTAGGTTATTTGTAGGTATTTTCTTTCTTATGCTTATTTTTAAATAACAAGATCTAGATAATGATACAAACAATGATATATCTTTCGCCGTGTCGCAACAAAACAGGACAAAAAACGATAGGAATCTTAAAGATAAAGTAAGGATTAATTAAGACCATTTAAAGTGGAATATATACATATTTAAATAAAACATTTTAACGGTTTTAAACGCGATTTATATTAATTTAATTATTCTAATAACGGCCCAATGTTTCGGATGCTTTGCAGCAGCCGTTGTCCCGAGAAGACAAAAGTTGGAGGCTACGTCTGATGTCAAAGTAAAAATATATTATTTACTTATTTTTTGGTTCCCTCAAAGATGACTAATCTTCCCGTCTTTCCACATGTTCCACTATATCTTCGCTCCTATTGCTTGCAGCGTGATGTTATACAGTTTAAAGGCTTCTTTGACAAATTATCTATCAAACACAATAATTTTTCTGTTCGAAGCAGTAGTTTTTGAGATTAGCGCGTTTAAACAAACTCTTCAGTTTTATAATATAAGTATAGATAAGTAAAATGTTATCAAGACGGCACCTTTTTTATGACGCAGTTTGAGAATGGATAAGTGCTTTAAGTATCGGATTAACAATAACATTGTAGCGTCGGCGCGATTGAGTTTCATTCAAGGTGAATGTTTCATAACATTGGAATCCTTTAGGTATCGACTCCATGTTTCGAATTGGATCCACTTTCAAATTCTTCGAAGTAACACATTTGCGTAAATGGACGTGAATTTATAATTCACAAAGCATTTCATTCCATCGTGATACCTATCGTAAAAAACATATATCAGTTATTTCTCACAAAAGGCTTATTTGTTAACAAAATATGTTTATAAATTTTCAACTTGAACTGGCATCGTCAGCGTTCCGTGCTTTTGCTCTACCAATTAGGCTATCGAGTCCTACACCTCATCGTCGAATTTTTTCAACTTAAGTTTACGCTTAAATAAAACACATTTAACGGTTTATAGCACGAATATATTAGTTAAATTTATTTTTGATTTGACAGAATTATATTAAAAGTAAACTTAAATTTCACGTTAATATTAATTGATTTATTTTGAAACAACTAACGTCTGTCTATAGTTTACGCGAGTACATAAATAAAACACACGTTTAAAAAAAAAAAAACCCCCCCCCCCCCCGGGGGGGGGGGGGCGGGGGCGGCGGGGGGGGAAATGTTAACATACAACTTCATGTGACGTCTTTGATTGAAGGAATTTTTATTTCAGCACCCCTTATAGTTTTCAATGATGGTCTAAAACCACTTCTGGTGCTGGATATACCATTTTGCAATGTAAATACCCACTACTGTCAAGGTGGTGACGAAGAGATACGTCGAAAAGAAATATTAAATGTATAGCTAAAAACGAAAAACAAAACATTTTTTTATTTCATAAGTATGTAGATTTTTGTTATATGCCTGTACACCTAAACGTATCATAATGTACTTCCACCAAAATAATAATTTCGAAGTGAACGTAGGGTGGCAGTAGACCAACACGGGTGTCTTAATCGTATTTAGGATAATTAAATAAAAGTGTAAGCATTAACACGTAATCCTCGGTGGCCGTCACTACACACCTAATACCGCTTATTAGCACGATACAACTACTTAAAACAACGCGATTACAAACATAGACTACGAAATGTTTAAAAAACAAATGTTACACAAACACAGATACACTGATGTCTCTCATAGGCATCGATCACTAACGTTATTAGTGATTGATGCACATAGGTGATAAGTTATTTACGGTAATTTAAAAATAAAGTCCTATTATATAAAATGTGTAAAGGCGCCGAAGGTTCAGTTATATTATTTTGTGTCATTCAAGAGCACGACATTTGACAAGGTTTTTGACTCTAATGGTTTATAGTATTAAGGTTCATGTATCAAGAACTTTTGTTTAAAACACAAAATATATTAATTATTAATAAATTATACCTTGTGTAGTTTGCCTAGAACAGACGCAGCAGCTGTGGTCACGGGGATCTGAAGATGCTCGTGTCAAAGTTGGCGACGTTAGCGCCATCTGTTACGGCAAGTCTTAGTTAAAATGAATCAAATACACGTTTAACTATTCGATATGTCATTTTAAACCTTTAAATGTATTTTATATAAATGTGTGTTACTCGCGTAAACTACAGACAGTACAAGATTCATATATATTAATTTCATAGACGTGTAAGTGATTAAAGGTGCTGCAACAAATGCTTAATCAGCGTGTGGCCAGACAGGCAGGGTAGCGTTGCTCAGTAATCGTGGGCCAAAACCGATCAATTGTGGCTGAGTTCAGAAAACAATTGCACCCTAATGACTCTCCAATAAAATTACTCCATTCGCCGAGATAGTACAACATACCACAACATACGAGTACATTGGTAAAGTTCGTCAATACCAAAATATGAATAATGTTTAAAGATTCCATTTTTTTGTTATTACGCACATTTGTAAAACATTAATATTTTTCACATAATGGCGTTATATGCATTAAAAATAGATTTTGGATTGAAAAAAAATTACGACACGGGCAGCACTTGAACAGGTATTCTAAGCGTTTCGTGCTGTTGTTCTAACCAATTGAGCTACCTTGTCCGAGACTATTTTTTTAACCTATTGAGATTTAATGCGCGAGAGTTGCATGTATCAATAGGCTAAAAAAATTGAAGAT